CAAACTCGTGCTTGACGAAATCGAGCAGGTCGGAAAGGCGTCCGGAGCTGGCATTCTGGGCGGCAGCAGCAGCCGCAGCAGCGGCGGCGGCGGCGAGCCGGGAGGTCCACCCTGTGCGCCCGGCGGCGGGGCGGAAGAAGGAGCACCGAGTCCGCCTGCCGGAGGCTGGCCGGGATGCTGACCCTGCGCTGCTGCGGCTGCAGCTGCCGCCGCCGCCGCTGCCTGCGAAGAAGGGCCGCCAGCGCCGGGAGGGGGCGGGCCGCCGGGCTGTGCTCCCTGCGATGCGTTCGGGTTGCGGTGGTTGTACATGCTGGACATTGCAAGGCGTCAGTGGTCCTGGGGGCGGTGACAGCTGGACCCGGACGACGACGAGCGAAGTCGCGTGGATGTAGGTCGCGGATGGATTCGTCGACCGGCGGAGGCGGTGGTCGGCGAGCGTGATCGAGAAGGAGCTGGATTAGTTCGCTCGCTCGATCTCGTCTGGCGTCGGATAGGGTCGACGGAAGCCACGGCGAGGTAGGGCGATCTAGTGCCGACTACTTCGTGGTGGAGATGGTGGTGCCGAAACGAGGGCGAAGTCGTCGGCGCAGTGTGCAGCTAACGGAGTGATCCTGCTGCTGCAGTGCTGGCTGGAGCGTCTGCTGGCGCACCTTTGAGTTGTTCGACCGACTAGCGGCTGAACGGATGCGACCTCTCAGAAGCGTTCCCGAGAGCAGCTAGACGCGGTCGGTGACAGCGACGTCGTGGATGCCTTGGCGAGGGACCGATTTGAAAGGAGCGTAGGGGGCGGCGAGGACGCGGCGGCCGACGCGAGCGGATCGGCGGCAGCTGAGGTGTCGTCCTACGGCGGCTGTCCGTTTGATTCGGAAGGCGAAGGGGCCAGACGGACGAGGAGCCTGCTGTGCGCCTCGACGAGATCAAGTGAAGGTGTGAGCTGCCGAGGAGCGAGTTGCGCAACGCGGGGAGCAGGTGGCCGGCGGATGGGAAACGACGACGGCGAGCCGCGGGAGGCGGATGGGCGGTCGCTGAACCGAGGCGTCGAGCGAGAAAGCGGGCCGGAGCGTGCGGGCACGCGCTGCGCGTCAAAGTCCGGATGACGGGTGACGTCGACGGCGGTCCGCTGCAGGCTGGATGGGCAAGGGAGTCGGGCCGAGACGACAAAGGAGGGGCACGGAAGAGGGGCGAGCGAGAGAGAGGTAGAGAGAGGGAGGAAGGGAGGAAAGTCGCGTCGTGTGACGGGCTGTGGTGGTGGTGATGGAGATGGTGTTCGTCGTCGTCGTCGTCGTTTGTCGTCGCGTGGTGGTGGCAATGATGACGAGGGCGGGGGATGCGATGGAAGGAGGTGGGGAAACGAGAAGGAGGAGCCAGGCGGCGTGCGTTCGGTGCGTTCGGTGCGGTGCGGTGCGGTGCGGTGCGGTGCGGTGCGGTGCGGTGCGCGGCAGGCAGGCAAGGCGGCCGGGCGGGCGGTCGGGGCGGTCCCAGCAGAGTCGTGCCGTCGGGAGGTCGTCGTCGATGCTGGATCATTGGCGGGCGCGGCGTCGCGGCGGCTGCTGCTGCTGCTGCTGCTGCTGGCGCTCGACAGGTCAGGCAGGCCCAGGCCGACCCAGCTGGGCGACGGGGGCGCCGCCGAGAGGGACAGACACCCAAATGAAAGCCAGCGTCCGTCCGTGTGCCTGCCTGACCGCCCAGCTGGGCTTGCTCGCTAGCTGGCTGCCTGGTATGGCAGGCAGGCAGGCAGGCTTGCCTTTTGCCCGTGCGTGCGTGCGTGCGTTCGTGCGGTCGTGCGCTGGGCGGCCTTTTTTTTTCAATTTTCAGACGAGATGGTCCAGCTTCTCTGCTGCTGGCTGGCCCACTGCCTCGCCGGGGGGGCAGGCAGGCTGGCTTGGTTCTGGGAGGGGGAGGGAGGAAAAGGCCGGGCCTGGGCCAGCGGAGCAGAGGCAGAGGAGGCCGGCGACGTCGGGCGGGCGGGCACGCAGAGCAGGCAGGTAGGTCCAGAAGCGGCCAGGCCAAGCTGGGCCAAGCGCTGGTCTGGCTGGCCACGTCGAAGTCGACGTCGTGGCGTCTGGCAGGCGGGGTGGCCCGGGTGCGGCCTGGCGGGTGCGGGTGCCCTGCGGTAAGATGCGGGTACGGAGAGTGTAGGGCACCAGGAGCTCAGGGCACGGCAGAAGCAGGCCAGGCTAGGCTAGGCTAGGCTAGGCTAGACGGCGACCAGCGAGAGGGGCGGCAGATCCGCCCGCGCCAGCTGGGCACGGGGGCCTGGGCCTCGGCCTCGGCCTCTGTCGCTGGGTTTTCATCATCACCATCAGCTGCCACGCCTCCTGCCTGCCTGCCTGCCTCGGGCAGCCAGCACAGAGAGAGAGGAAAAAGAAGAACCGGCGCGGGCGACACTCGGGACGGGGGACGGGGGGTCGCCCTGGCAGGCCGGGCCGGCCTAGCTCAGGCCCTGCGCAGGTGACAAACGCCCACCGACCGGCAAACCGGCCGACTGGCAGGCAGCCTCGCTGGCAGGCTCCCGGCCGCCTGGTAGACGTTGAATGCGGCCGAGCCAGCGACGAGCCTGATTGGGTCTCAATCAAACCTGCCCTCGCTGCCGCGCACCGTCGCGATTCAATGAGGGCTGTCGCTCGTTTTCACCGATCACTCCTCCCTTCCTGCCCGCCGCCTGGCCAAGCCAAGCTCAGCTCAGCGCACTCACACACACCGTACCACACGCGGCATACCCCGCTTCTTTCCGTCTCTGTCAAAGGTGAGGTGATGGGATGCTCTATTATCGCGATATCCCGTCCTGCCTACGCCCATCTTCACAAAACACCCACCAGCCGTTCTTTGCCGCCACTGCCGTTGGCATCGCCGCCGTTGGGCCCGGCGCGCGACGAAGGCGCCGACGTCGACATCCTGCGCTGCTTTCCCGCGGCCAAAGCGGGCGCCGAGCTGCTCGATGCCATGACCGAGGCTGACGCCGTCGTTGCATCGGCAGCACCCGCTGGGTCGCCAACCCTGGGCGACTGCTGCTGCGGCTCACGCTGCTCGTGCGGCGAGCGTGGCGAGACCAGCGCCTGCGGGTGAGACCCAGAGCGTCTCCTGCGCTCCTTCCTCGCCCGCTCGCCCCGCTCAACGGCCTCGCGCACCGAGTCGTCCTCGATCCCGCCGCTGCTGCTCGAAACGGGCAGCGAAGGCAGCGGCATGTTGGGAGGCGGCGACGAAGGCCGGGTCGATGCCTTGGCCTTGCCGTCCACCGCTCCACCTGGGCCACCGCCGCCGCGGCTGCCGTCACGCTGCAGATCGGGGCTCGACGCCGACGTCTGCAGCACCGATGCCATCGAGCTGCTGGAAAAAGACGGCGACATGGGCGTCATGCCGAATGGATCGCCCAGCCGCGACGACGTCTCGTCGGGCGTGTTGCACTTGGAGCTGAACCGCGACGACAGTGCGCTGTCCAGGCTCGTCAGCGCGCCCAGCGCGTCCCTCCGGCTCGCGTTGCTGCTGCTCCGGCTGCCGTTGCTCGACAGACTCGCCGACCGCGCCCGTGCCGCCATGCCCATCGGCGCAGGCTCGGGCTGCAGCATCGGCACCGGCGCCGTGTCGCGCTTGGGCGCGCGGAGGTGCGGCGCAGACCTCCTGATGGATCCGTTTGCCCCCGTCGTAGTCGAGGTCGACGAAGACGAGATGGAGCTGGTGCGTGAGCTGCGTCGCGCGCGATTCGAGGTGCGATCCAGATCGTTGCGCGCACCGCCCGCGCTCTTGAGGATGCTCGACCGGCTCCCAGACCGCACCTTGGTCTTGGCTACAGGAGGGCTCGACGACGAAGCCGCAGCCAGCATGGCGCCCACCGACGAGTTGTCCGACTCGCGACCCAGCGGGCTCAGAGGCGACGGGCTCGTCATCGCCTCCTCGGCGGATCGCTGGTACGTCTTGAGCCGCGCCGGAGACACGTCGACCCGCAGATCCGTGTGAGGTTCCGTGACCTGCGAAAGGGTCAGCGCCGCCGCAGCCCTTTGCCGGATAGAGCCAGAATCGGCAGTGCTCGAGCCACCAACGCTGCTGCCGCTGCTGCTCCCGGAACGCCGGGACCGCTTTGGTGAGGTCGTCGATGAAGAGGGGCCGACAAGCTCGGCCGCAACTGGAGACCCAGAGCTGACGACGCCAGCATCCGTCTTTCCGCTTCGATCGCCGTCCTCACGCGCAGGAGCGACGCCGTAGGCGTCCGCACTGCTGCGCGGAGCCGATCCGCCTTGGCCGCTCGACATGCCCAGAAGCGCAAGGTAGGCTTCCCTCTCTGCCTCGGGCGTGCCTGCCGGCACCTCGTTTGACGAGATCAGCTCGACGCCCGGAGAGCCCTGCCGCAGGTCGGCGAGCGGACTCGAGCCCCGCCGCAAGCCGCGCAGCTCGCCCAGGCTGACCTTGCGCCCGAGGCTGCTGAAGCGGTTCGGTACGCTGAGCGAGCCAATGGAACCCTCGCTGCTGCTCGAGTTGAGCACCTTGCGCGCCGACGAGAGCGACGATGACGACGGCGACGGCGACGGGCCTGCGGTGTCCGAGGCCCTGCGTGACCCGATCGAGGTCCGGGGCTCGGTCAGATCGTCAAGAGACCTCCGGCTCTCCACCAGGCTCTCGTCGCTCATCGACGCCGCAGGGATCAAGGTGAGGCCGAGGCTGTCGTGGGCCTGGATGGCGTCGTTGGCCGACGTTCTCCGGCGCATCATCTTGCTGACGTTGCGCTTGAGCGAGGCGGTGGCGCTGCCGCTCCTTTTCGATGTCGGGCTGGTGGCGCCAGCCGATGCAATCGCGCTGTTGAGCGTGCCCGTTCCCGCAGCAGACGCGAATGCCAGAAACGCCGTCGGGTCGGACAGTGATTGGTCGTCGCGAGGCTTCGAGCGCGGCGACAGCTGGCTCGAGTCCTCCGTAGGCGACACGAGGCTTCCGCTCGAGCGGCGCGGCGAGAGGAAGCCGGAAGATGAGGTGCGCCTCGCCGACTGCGCATCGCTGCCGCCGTCCCGGCTGGTATCGATCGTCAGGCTCGGCCGGCGTGGCAGCTCGTCGTCGGCAAAGGAGATGAGGGGAGCCAGGGGCATCTGCCTGCGCGGCGAAGCCGTCCTCTTGATTGTAGCGTGGGACCCCGCATCCTGGCCCTTTTGCAGCTGCACATCCGTCTTGGCCACGAGGCCGGGCACCGCCGGCGGTGGCGCGTTCTGCGGCTGCAGCCCATCGACGTCGAGTTGTGCGCCACCGAGAGCAGAGGCACCGGCGACGCCTTCCGCCTGGCCTTCGAGAGCGGCCGTCAAGGCGGCGTTGCGAGCATTGCGCGCTCTCCGCTTGCGCCAGTCCCAGTCCCGCCCAGCCGCAGCGGTGCTCGGCGTGAAGCGCTCAAACCAGAACTCGTCGGCATCGTCGTCTTTGCCGCAGTCGTCGACGCCACCGCCACCGATGCCCGGCACGAAACCTAGTCCGTTGGCGCCGGCGCCGGCCAGCGGGCTGTTATGCAGCAAGCCCAGATCGAAGCTGGCGGAGCGCCTGCCGGATGCGGCGACCATGGCCGCCGTCTCGAGGCGCTCGCGCGCCCGGTCGTGCGTTTCGGCGTGCTCGCTCCAGTCGGGCTCGATCAGCTTGATCTGCCTCGAGGGTCGACGCAGCCAAGGCAGGCTCATGGCGTGGGGCGGCAGCGGGGACGCTGCGGGGCTGGCGGCCGAGTAGGGCGGCGGCGGTGGTGCGTGGCCTGCTGCAGAGGCCTGGTCAGCGTCGGCGCCTTGCTGCCCGCCGGGACTGTGGATGTTGGCCAGCGAAGCCGAGCGCTGTACGAGGCTGTAGGAGATGTCGATCTGCGAGAGGAGGCCCGAACGGAAAGCCTGCGGTTCTTTTTTGAGGATGGACGACATGCGCCCGGGCAGCGGGACCGTCGACGACGCCGGCGAGGGTATCGGGCTGCTGGCGTCGCGCCCCGCCATGCCGCGCGCGCGGTGGCCCGACGAGGCCGAGACGAACGAGTGGTTGGAAGCGACGCTGGGGCTGGCCATGCTGCTGGCGTCGTCCTCGCCCTGGGCCGCTCCGCCCTCGTGCTCGGGCACCACCTCATCGGTCCACTCGTCGTCTGCGGTAGTGGAAGAAGCATTCTTGGCCGAGCCCTTTCGCCTGGCCGACCCTTCGACGTTGATGAGCAGGGGAAGCTGACGCGGCCGCAGCTGCGGGCTCGAAGCTGCCGCCTTGTCCGAGCCGGCCTGCTTGGAGCGTCCAGAGCGGGTCGCATCGATCGAAGGCGAGCGGATCGCGGCAGACCCCTTGGCCGCTGCGCCCGATAGACGTCCGCTCTCGCGCCTCCTCCGACCGGGCGCGGGAGGGCCCGAGGACGAAGAGCGGCGTGCAGGCGTCGCAGCCGCGGCCGTGGACGTCGTCGCTGCCGCCGAGGAGCTGGTGGCAGCGGCCATGCCCTCTGTACTGGACGCGCTGGCGGTCGCGGCTGGGGGAGAGGCAAAGGGGCCCGAGGGGATGAGGGTGCGGCGTTGGGGCTCGAGTTCGAGCTGGAGCGGGTTGTCGCAGAGATTGCTGGTGGGATCGGAGCTGACGATGCGAATGACGCTGCTGCTCCTCTTTGAAGCAGCAGCAATGCCTGCGGCAAAGGTGCCCGCCGTGGGGTCGCGTCCGACGAGCCTTCGGAGGCCTGCGCGGGCGCGATGTCCGCCGAGGTAGCAGGGGCGTTTTCCTCCGGCGGCGGCGTCTGCCTCTGCCTCTGCCTCGTACTCGTCGCTGTCGAGCTCGACTTCGCCGTAGCTGATGTTGCTGTCGGCGTTGAGGTCGTTTGAGAGCTGCCAGAGCGAGTTTGTCTGCTTCGAGGAGCCTTGGGAGAGGTTGAATCGTAGGAACCAGTAGAAGGCGAAGAGCGATGCGAGTATGAGCGAGGCTGCGAGGAGGACGAAGGACCAGGAGCTCTCGAGGCTGGCGCGCCACATGCGGGCCGGGCTCAGGGCCGCGGGCATAGCTGCGTTGGAGATCGACGACGCGGACGAGGATGAGGAGGCGCCGCGGTCGGTGGCCGAGTTCCAGAGGCGCGAGAGGAGGCGAAGGCGGATGGCATCGCCCCTCAGGCCGGCGAGGACGCGCGATGGGTGCGGGGCCGAGGAATCGGCCATGGCGGTGAGCCCGCGAGGCGGTGCCGCTGGAGGCAGCACCGAGGTCGAGTGTGAGAGCAGCGAGGGTCGAGGAGGGGCGGCGTGGGGGACGAAGGCTAGATGGGACGACGAGAGGATCTGCCGAGAGGGAGATGGGGCAGTTGAGCGGCGCGTTGGGTTTGGGCCTGTGGCCAAGGTCGAGGGGTTTGGGTTGGGCGGGGATGGCAGTGTGTCTGGCGAGGCGTCCGAGGCGAGGGGTATCTAGAGGGAGTCCATGGCGGCCGAGCGAGGAGGTGTGGGGATGCTGGAGATGCCTCGGTGGTGGCAGGTCGAGCAGCTCGTGGTTGGTCGAAGGAGGTCGGAGGTGAATGCAGGGCGGATCCGTCCGGGCGAAGTTCGAGGGTAGGAGACGACGAGGCAGCGACGGGTATGCGGGAGGTATGGCTTGCGAGTAGACCGATAGATAGATCAAACGAGAGACGACGGCGGGCGGCAAAGGCGTTGATGGATGGCGAGGTGGTGGCGGGAGGCAGGAGAGGGAGGCAAGGATGGCGCTGTCAGAAACAGAGAGCGGGCAAGGCAGCAGCCACAAGGCCCAGCTGAACGGGCAGAGCGGGCAGTCTTAGTGGGCAGTGGGCTGCTAGGCCCTCGAGTAGTGGCCTCGGATGGCGTGAAAGCGCCCTGTCAATTTGGCCTGCCAGCCAACGACGCCAGACAAGAGAACCAAGGCCACTCGTCGCTCGCTCACTTCGGACCCAACGCCTCCTCGTACCCCGCAAGCGGCTTGGCTGGCTTGGCTGGCTTGCTTCCTTGGTCGTACGATGTGCATCGGCACCTCATGCAAATAGAGGGGCATAAAGGAGCTCGACGGCGGCCAGGCCTGGTCATGGGCCTGGCAGAGGCAGGCGGAGCGGAGCGGGGATGCAAAGGCGGGGATCCGACCCCGGCTCGCCTGCCTGCCTCTGTCTGTGCATCGCCCGCTTCTGCTTGCTTGCTTGCTTGCTTGTGCTTCTGCTTCTGCTGCACCCCAGCGGGTCGGCTTGGCGGTCACAGACGCTGCGAGGAAGGAAAAGCAGCAAGTAGACAAGAAGAGAAGCCTGCCCCCGCCGTCACCTGATCATGGACCCGCGCAGCCCAGCCATGGCGATAGGTATCCCCAGCTCGCCTCGTCGTCGTCGTCGTCGTCGTCGTCGTCGCGGGCGGTGGTGATGGCTGGTTGACGCCAGCAGGGTAGGAGAAAGGCCGAGGCACGAAACTCAAGCTGAAGCGGAAGCGGAAGCCAAGCATCGTCCCGAGGATCGAAGGCGCGACCCTTCTAGACCAGCAGCAGCCAGGCAGCCAGGCAGCCAGGCAAGGAGACGTACGGCCAGACGCGGCTGCTGGCCACTTACTCTGCTCTAACTACGTCTCGCCTTGAGCTTCCTGCTTGCGCTTCGTCTATTTGCGGACCTTAGGCTTGGCTATGGCCGCATCGCGTCGGTCGTACGTCGATCTCGGCCTGCGTCGATGCATCATATGCATGCCACAGACACCACAGCAGGCCGGCCCACGCCGCAGCCAGGAGCATGAGCCCCCCCCCCCCCCCTTGCCCACGCAGCCTGGTTCAGCTCCTGCCTCCCTCCTCAGCCTGCCTGTATGTACTCCTCTCGCGCAACCTTGCCCGTCTGCCTCCGCCTGCCTGCCTGCCTGCCGCTGCACCTCCGGACGTGCGACATGCGCGCAGGTCCCTCTGGTCGCTCTCTTCCGTCAAAGCCAAGCCAGCCTGGCCAAGCAACGCCTCCTCCCCGTCCCTCGCAGTCGTGACGCGGCTTCCATCCTTCACCCCTTGCCCTACCGCCACCAACCATCACCTCGACATCCGCACCCTCGTCTTGCTTCCATCGCTGCCACTCGTCCACACGCCCACACTCCATCGGATCCTACGCTGCGTTGGGACTGGTCGATGTCTTCGCTTGCAAGGAACAGAAAACTAGATATACACGGGGGGGAAGGGGCGAGGCCGGGAGGAGGGGGCTAAGAGGCTAGGTAGGGGGGGAAAGCCACGGTCGACCACTCGGACTCTGCCGCGGCGACACCTTTTTCGAACCGACAGACGCCGCCGGCGCGCTCAGTCGATGCTCTCCATGGCCGACTCGCCGGCGACCTCCTCGGTGGCCGCCTCCTTGTCGCCCTCGTCGGCGCCCTCGAGGCCGGCGTCGTCAATCGACAGGCCGAGCGAGATGAGCTTGTACAGGCGGTTGGCAAAGTCGTGGGGCTGCTCGAGCGTGAAGCCCGACGTCAGCAGCGCCGTCTCGTAGAGGAGCACCGTCAGGTCGCGCACCGTCGTGTCGTTCTTGTCCTGCGCAGACTTGGCCGCCAGCTCCTTGACAATCGGGTTCGACGGGTTGAGCTCGAGCGTCTTCTTGGCCGCCATGTACTGCGACATGCTCGAGTCGCGCAGCGCCTGCGCCTTCATGATGCGCTCCATGTTGGCCGACCAGCCAAACGTGTTGGTCACCAGCACGCACGGCGAGCCCACGATGCGGTTCGAGACGACGACCTTCTCGACCTTGTCGCCCAGGATCTCCTTGACCGTCTTGCACAGGTCCTCGCACGACTTGGCGTCCTCCTCCTGCTTCTTCTTCTCCTCCTCGGTGTCTTCGAGCTCGAGGCCCTCCTTGGAGACGCACACCAGCTTCTTGCCGTCAAACTCCTTGAGCTGCGTCACGGCGTACTCGTCGATCGGGTCCACCATCAGCAGCACCTCGAGGCCCTTCTTCTTGAGGCGCTCCAGGAACGGAGAGTCGCGGATCGACGCCAGCGACTCGCCCGTCAGGTAGAAGATCGAGTTGTTCTTGCCGTCCTGGGGCATGCGCGTGATGTAGTCCTTGAGGCTCGTCATCTCGTCGCCCGACTTGGTCGAGTGGAAGCGCAGGAACTCGGCCAGCTTGTTGCGGTTGGTGGCGTCCTCGTGGATGCCGAGCTTGAGGTTCTTGCCAAACGCCTCGTAGAACTTGGCAAAGTTGTCCTTGTCCTCGGCGATCTCGGAAATCATCTCGAGCGTCTTCTTGACGACGTTCTTGCGGATCACCTTGAGGATCTTGTTTTGCTGCAGCGTCTCGCGCGAGATGTTGAGCGGCAGGTCCTCGGAGTCGACGATGCCCTTGACAAAGTTGAGGTACTCGGGGATGATGTCCTCGCAGTCGTCCATGATAAAGACGCGGCGCACGTAGAGCTTGATGTTGTTGCGCTTCTTCTTGGTCTCGAAGAGGTCAAAGGGGGCGCGCTTGGGGATGAAGAGGAGCGCCTTGAACTCGAGCTGGCCCTCGACCGAAAAGTGCTTGACGGCCAGGTGGTCCTCCCAGTCGTTGGAGAGCGACTTGTAGAAGGCCGAGTACTCGTCGGCGGTGATCTGCTTGGGCTCGCGCGTCCAGAGGGGCTTGGTCTTGTTGAGCTCCTCCTGCTCGGTCTGCATCTCCTTGACCTTCTTGGTCTTCTTCTTCTTGTCCTCGTCGTCGACCTCCTCGATCTTGGCCTTCTTGTCGTCGCCCTCGGCCGCCTCCTCGGCGTCGTCCTCCTCGACCTCCTTCTCGACCTCCTTGGTCACGACGAGCTGGATCGGGTACGAGATAAACTCGGAGTGCTTCTTGACAATCTCCTTGATGCGCTTCTCCTCGATGTACTCCATCTGGTCCTCCTTGAGGAAGAGGCGCATCTCGGTGCCGCGTCCCAGAGACGGGTTGACCGTGTCCTGGGTGATGGTGAAGGTGCCGCCGGCGGCGCTCTCCCAAATGTACTGCTCGTCGTCGTTGTTTTTGGTGATGACCTGGACCTTGTCGGCGACGAGGTAGGCCGAGTAGAAGCCGACGCCGAACTGGCCGATCATCGAGATGTCGGCGCCGGAGCTGAGGGCCTCCATGAAGGCCTTGGTGCCGGACTTGGCGATGGTGCCGATGTTGTTGACGAGGTCGGCCTTGGTCATGCCGATGCCCGTGTCGCGGATGATGAGGCAGTTGTTTTCCTTGTCGGGCGTGATGCGGATGTAGAGGTCCTTTTCCGTCTCGAGCACGCTCGGGTCGGTGAGGGCCGAGTAGCGCACCTTGTCGAGCGCATCCGAGGCGTTGGAGATGAGCTCACGCAGGAAAATCTCCTTGTTCGAGTAGAACGTGTTGATGATCAGGTCCAGAAGCTGGCTGATGTCGGCGGCCTGCGAGGTTGGGGGAAAGCGGTGTCCGACAGGGCAGCGGAAACACAAGCGTCAGCGGGTCGATGCTCGTATCGTCTTCCAAAGAGGGCCGGGACGCAGCGCGCGCGGGCGAGCCAGCCTGCTACTCACGAAGCCGAAGGTCTCGGTGTTGGACATGATGGCGTGAGTTGTGCGGGTGGTAGTGGCGGTGATGGGGAAGCGGGTTCGTCAGGGAACAGCGGGTGGAGACTCGCGAGGGGTGAAGTGTGGCGGTAGCGGTGCACTGAAGGGTATGAAGCAGACGAGTGCGAGTGCGGTGCGAACGAGTCGGTGGTGGTGGTGGTCAAAGATGAGGAGGAGAACGTAGATAGAGGTTGCCACCTGGCCAGGAATAAATGGGGCTGGCCCCGACGGCCAGCACCAGGGCCGCCTGTGTGCGGGTTGGCTGAGCGCAGCAGCCGGTGTTGCTTCCAGACGCTTCTCCCGCCAGCCTGCCCCTCTGTGCGCGGCCTGGCCTGGCCTGGCCTGGCCTGGCTTTGCGCAGTGGCCGGGGGCTGGGCTGGTTGCTTTCTTCTTTCGAGCGCCTGCTGCAAACTTCTACCGAGGCCGGAGGCGGCGGCGGGCGGAGGCAGCAGGCAGCAGGCAGCCAGGCAGCCAGGCCGTCCGGCCTCTTTTCTCCACGACGACCTTCCACACCCTTCCACGCCTGGCCCTGGCCTTTCTTCGGGAGCCGGCGGGAGAAAAGAACGTGCATCGGGCTCCATTTTCCGATTCCCCAACATCGGGCGACCACCGCCTCCAGCGTCGATACCAAGGCGCGGCAGACAGGGCACACGCAAGCGAGTGCGCGCTGGCTGAGCCTGTATGCTCTAGACGCCCAAAGGAGGCTGTGCGTCGGTCCGCGCGGGTTGGCCTGCCTGCTGACCGGTCGCGGCCACGATGCTGGAATGAAGATGGGCGCATGGCAGTCCGCTAACGACGCCGCCTGGCTGGGATCACGCCCGCCCACTGCGCACCACGTCAGACGGCCCGGCATCGATGGCTGGGGTCAGAAGGTCCTGCGTCGCACTGAGCGTAACAGCGGCAGCAGCCGCGGGAGCTTGAGCAGAATGGTCGAGTGACGAGGAGCCGAATCGAGCCTACATACAGTAGCCTAGCCAGGCGACCCTAATCTGGCCAAGTCTTGCGACGTGACCCTTGATGGATGGCCCAAGGCGGAGGGTGCGGCGGGCGAGGATGATGCTGCTGCTGAGCCAGAGCGGCGGGCCGTGATCGTTGGGCGACGTGGCGTGCTGGCAGTCGGTGCCGAGATTCGAGGGTTTGCGCCCCAGGTAGCGGGGGCCGCGCAGAGTCACCGGCAGAAGCCTCAGAGGGCCTCTCTCCACACGCAACTCGCGCCAATCTGGCAGGCGGGCAGGCGAGCAGGCGGGCAGGCAAGCAGGCGGGCAGCCAGGCAGCCAGGCAGCCACGCCAGCCCGACCGACCAACCGACCGACTGACCGACCGACTGACCGACTGCCCGACACTCTGACACGGCATCGCACCGCTACCGCCCTCGCACCGGCCCTCACCACCATCACCGTCCCGCCCGCCCATCACCTTCAACTTTGATTGCACAGCACTCCGAGCATCCTGCCTGACCTCACCTGCAACAACGCCCGCACAGCAACCCACAACACTCGTCAGCCACGGCTCATCGCGCCAGTCCATCGCCGCGTCTCGTCGCCACCGCCACCACCACCGCCATCTCTCTGCTGTCCACCGCGCGCAGAGCCACACACACCCTCACACTCGTACACGCCTCTCCATCGCGACCATCACCACACCTTCATTCCCCGTGCCTGGTCTCCGCCTGCTCGCCGCGCCGCTCTCGATCGGTGCACCCTCCCGCCGCCCACTGCTCTTGTCCTACCACTGCCGGCCGCGCGACTCCATCCCTCCTCCGGCGATTGCTTGGCCGCCGATCCCCATGCGCTGGGCAGTCTCCTGATCCGCTTCCTCTCTCCTCTGCGCCTCTCGGTCCCGCCTGCACCGCGCGACACCTCACCCCTCCCATCGCGCAGCCCACCAAACGCCGACGTCGTTCGCTTCTCCCCCAGAAGAGGAACATGCTTGGTCTCGAGCCCCGTCCCTCGAACCCTCCGCCATCCGACGTATTCGCTTCTCCCGCCCGAACCTACCTCGCCAGCTCCCTTCCCTTCAACTACTTGCCAGCACCTGCACCAGCACCTGCACCGGCACCCGCATCAGCACGACTTCGGCCACCTCGCCTCGCATCCTCCCTACTCTAGCTCCCGCCTTGCACCACGCCAACCAACCCTGCTCGAGTCCGGATACATGTACCCCTCCCCCTCTCCCTCCCCGGCTCCTTCGCCACCCGCCTTCCTCTACCTCAACTCCCACCACCACCAGTCCGGCAGTCATGGTGGAGGGCCCCTCTCGGGCGGCGGCCAAGGCTCCTCGGCACAGCAGAACCAGGCCGGAGCCTTTGGCCCCAGCGGCTCCGCCGGCTTCAATCCCGTAGGCCGCTTCCCCCTCCCCGGCTCCGGATGGCCACCGCGCTCCCAGCACCACGCCCACCACTCGCACCAGCAGAACCCGTCGCTGTCGTCGTTGCCCGGCAGCCTGGGCCACTCGAGCACTGCCTCCGCCAACAATGCCGGCCCACCCTCATCGCCCGCCTACGGTGGCCTCTCGAGCAGCCACCACCACCACCATTCGGCACACGGCCCGCACGGCCTCTCCCATCTTGCATCACCGGCCACCCTTCACCCTTCGCAGAACCACCTCGCGTCTTCTAGCGCGTCCAACGCGGCCGCCCACTCCCCGCACTGGCAGCAACAGCTGCACAAAGCAGAGGTTCGTAGCGGCCTGGACACGATCGCGCCCCTCTGGGGGCCAGAAAACGAGCCTCCCACTGACCTCGCTCTCCCCCGTCTCGTCCCCTCTCGTTTGACCTCGTCGAACCCGTCCAGATCTCGCGGCAGTCGTCCTCGCCGCACCACCACGCACGAGCAGCGGCGCTGGCGGCCCGGAGCGCGACGAGCTCGGCCGTCACAATTCAGGACCCGAACAAGGGCATCCACGTGCCGGCCAGCGCGGCGGCCAACGGCCTGTTTGTCGCCAAGAAGGAGACGGCGGCCGGCGGTGGAGGCGGAGGCGGCGCATCGGTGGCCGCGACCGACGACGGCGGCGTCAACGGCAGCAACGGCGAGGCGGGCGGCAGCGGCAGCCACAAGGGCGGATCGTCGTCGTCGGCGGCCAATGGAGCGGCAGACTCCAAGGCCAAGCAGACGTGGACGACGATCGACATGGGCGGCCTCAGCCTCAAGAACGTGGCCAACGAGGTGTTCCGCTACTCGTTCCTCACCTCGCTCTTCATCAACCACAACGCGCTGTCGACGATCTCGTCGGAGATTGTCAAGCTCAAGAACCTGACGGTGCTCGACGCGTCGGGCAACAAGCTCATATCGATCCCGCCGGAGCTGGGCATGCTGACCAGCCTGCGCGAGCTGTTCCTCTTTGACAACAACCTCGTCACGCTGCCGCCGGAGCTGGGCACGCTGCACCAGCTCGAGACGCTCGGCATCGAGGGCAACCCGCTCAACGAGAACCTGCGGACGCTGGCGCAGCGCGAGGGGACGCAGGCCGTCATCGCCTACCTGCGCGACTCGTGCCCCGTGCCGCTGCCGCCGCCGGAGCGCGAGTGGATCAGCATCGAGCCCGACGTGCCGGCGCAGCAGCGCGACGCCTCGGAGCCCGCCGCGCCCACCGAGTCGTTCAACGTGCTCTCGTACAACGTGCTGTGCGACCGATACGCCACCGCCAGCATGTACGGCTACACGCCCAGCTGGGCGCTGTCGTGGGAGTACCGCAAGGAGTTTATCCTGCAGGAGGTGATGAGCTACAGCGCCGACGTGTGCTGCCTCCAGGAGGTCGACATGGAGCAGTACGAGGACTACTTCCTCCACCACCTGTCGCAGCAGGACTACGAGGGCGTCTTCTGGCCCAAGTCGCGGGCGCGGACGATGCGCGACGAGGAAAAGCGCCACGTCGACGGCTGCGCCACCTTTTTCAAGTCGAACAAGTACCAGCTCATCGAGAAGCAGCTCATCGAGTTCAACCAGATCGCCCTCCAGCGGCCCGACTTTAAGAAGACCGAGGACATGTTCAACCGCGTCATGACAAAGGATAACATCGCCGTCGTGGCGCTGCTCGAGAACCGCGAGAGCGGCTCGCGCATCATCGTCGTCAACGTCCACATCCACTGGGACCCCGAGTTCCGCGACGTCAAGCTGGTGCAGGTGGCCATGATGATGGACGAGCTCGAGAAGATTGGCAACCGCTTCGCCAAGCTGCCGCCCAAGCTCAACGTCGCCGAGGGGTTCCCGCCGGCGCCCAAGTACACCGAGGGCAACCAGATCCCCACGATCATCTGCGGCGACTTCAATTCGGTGCCCCAGAGCGGCGTCTACGAGTACCTCAGCGGCGGCGGTGTCGGCGGCGACCACGAGGACTTTATGGACCACGTCTACGGCAACTACACGGCCGAGGGCCTCAGCCACGCCTACCAGCTCAAGAGCGCCTACGCCAACGTCGGCGAGCTGCCCTTTACCAACTACACGCCCAACTACGTCGGCATCATCGACTACATGTGGTACAACACCAACGCGCTCGCCGTCACGGGCCTGCTGGGCGAAGTCGACCGCGGCTACCTGAGCAAGGTCGTGGGCTTCCCAAACGCCCACTTCCCCTCGGACCACGTCTGCATCCTGGCAGAGTACCGCGTCAAGCATCCCAACACGGCCGGCAGCACCGGGCCAAAGCCGCGCGCCGTCGACTTTGGCGGAGGTGGCGGCGGCGGCGGCGGCGGGCATCGCGACCGCGAGAGGAACGGCGACCGGCGGTGATGCGCGCCTTGCTGGCTGGCGGCGGCCTCGACCGTCCATCCTCTGGAGCCCGCGCGATCTGCATGTCGACCCTCGCTCTCGCTCCCTCTCTCCCCCTTGGCTCTCCTCCTGCTCCTTTCCTTTCGACCGGCATCGGTCCCTCGTCTCCCTCGCTGCTAGACGGGGACGAGGACGGACGGCTGAGCCCCCGGTACATGTTTTACTATCTCTTCTAAGGCGCCAGCGTGCGTGCGGGCGGCGTACGCTCGCATCCCGCCTCCCCCCCTCCCTATCCCCTTCCTCCCCCTTACTCGACCGTCCTATCACTCCCTCCTCCTCTCTTCTTCTCCTCCTTCATCTGTTCGTCTGTATGTCCTGTACAACAACAACAACGACCCCTCACCACCCTCTTCTTCCTCTTCTCTTCTCTTTCCTTCAAAGTCTATAGCCTCTTTTCTTTCCACCCACTTCTGACCTCTTCCGTCCCCCCTCACCTTCTTGTATCAGAGGAGAAGGAGGAGGAGATAGATCCTCCCCACCCCCCTCCCCTCTTCATTACAGCCCCCAACCCGCACCCCTTCCCCCCTCCCTCTCCACTCCTCATCTCGTCTCGTCTCGTCTCGTCTCGTGCTAGTCCCTGCCAGTCCCGCGTCTCGTATCGATGTGCCCAACGGCGTGTGTCGTTCCGTTGCTCAATTCCTCCACAACCCACCCACCTCGCTCCCTCGCTCGCTCGTCGAGTGCCGTGCTGATCCCTGATTGGCCCGCCCCCCCGGTCCTGATGCTGGTGTTGATGCTGATGCTGATGCTGGTCTTGATACAAAATGGCGAATGATGGTGGTGGTACAAATGTGTCTGTCTGGTCGATTCCTTTTTCCCGCCCCCCTCCCGGGCATCTCGCGCCGCTCCGCACCGCCCCACCCCGATGCCATCACGCGAGCTTCTGTCGTTTTGCCCGGCTCGCACTCGCATTGGCCGTGGCTGCTCCCACCATACCTCCCTTGGCCGCCGCCGCTGTCGCCGTCGCCGAAGCGGCTGCAGCTGCAGCTGCGGAAGGTGCAGCCGTACCGCCGCCGCCGCCGGTATGCGATGACGAAGACGCCGTGGGCGGACCCGTATGGCCCGCCGAGCCCACCGCGGTAACGGTAATGTTGGGCGGCTGATTCATCGTCTCTCCACCACCACCACCGCCGCCGCCGCCGCCGGTGGACCCGCCGCGGGAGACGGTGCCCGTGCCGCCCGTTCCCGTATTGATGCCCGAGTTGGCGCGCGAGTAGTGCTGTCCGACCCCGCGCGCGATGAGGGATGCAGGGCCGAGGTCAGCCCATGCCCCGCCGCGGCCGCGGCCGCCGCTGCTGCCGATGGCGGGGCGGTGTGGAGCGGCGGGAGGGGCGGAGGCGCGTGGGGAGGGGGCAGCGCTGAGCTCTTCATCTTTGGGTCGAGGTCGTCGTGGATGACCCGGCGCGTCGGGTAGGTGTTGTTGGGCTTGGCGAGCGAGGCAAACGCGTTGAGCGTGGGCAGCGGCTCCTCGTTGAGCCAGGGGTGCTGCAGCGCCTCGGACGCCGTGAGCCGCTTGGTCGGGTCGTATTGGAGCAGCGTGTCAAACAGCTCGAAGCCGCCATGGGAGCGCGCGCGGTTGGCATACCACGTGTGCAGGTTTTTCGGGTAGTTGTCGAGGCGCAGGTGCGGCCACCAGCCCTTGTAGTCGGGCATCGTCTCGATGGCGGGCCAGCGCTCCTTGGACGGCGAGCCGAGGATCTCGACGATGCGCTTGAGCTGATCCCTGTGAGGGATGCCAAGCAGCGAAGAGCCGGACACGCAAGGGGGCGGTAGCAAGGGTCAGCGTCTGACGATGGCGCCGAATGCGACCGCGACCCAGTCTGGCGACCGAAACTCACGTCTGGAAGGGCGCCGCCTTGGTCTTTGGGTCCATCTTGGCCTCTTCGCCCTTGAACATGGGGCGCAGCGCGAGGAGCTCTCCCCAGATGCAGCCGACGGCCCAGACGTCGATGGCGGTCGTGTAGTGGCGCGCGCCGAGGAGGAGCTCGGGAGCGCGGTACCAGATGGTGACGACGACCTTGTCGCCGGTGTAGAGGCTCTGGAGGGGCTGCGAGTAGAGGCGTGCGAGGCCGAGGTCGCCAATCTTGACGACGCCGTTGCTGGTGACGAGGATGTTTGCGGGCTTGAGGTCGCGGTGGAGGACCCAGTTGCGGTGGAGGTAGGCGACGCCGTTGAGGAGCTGCCAGAGGATGCTCTTGAGGACGGCGACGCCGATGGGGGCGCGGAGGACGGCCGAGTGGTGGTGGATGAGCTGGAGGAGGTCGTGCTCTGCGTACTCGAAAACCATGTAGATGCTCTTGTCCTCGAGGCGGACCTCGAAGAGCGAGACGACGTTGACGTGGTGCAGCTCGCGGTTGAGGGCGATTTCGCGCATGGCGCTCTGGCTGATGCCCGTGTACTGGGACGCCTCGGACTCTTTGCTGTCGGGCTTGAACTTTTTGATGGCGTAGATCTGGCCTGCGTTCGAGGCAGAGGCAGAGGCGGCGGCTGCGGCGGCGGCGGCGGCAGCAGCAGCAGCGGCAGCAACGGCAGGGTCGTTTGAGGGCGTCTGTGGGTTTGCCATGGAGGCGGGAGTGGCGGGTGCGGTGTGGGAAGCAGCGTCGCCGTGCAGGGCCGGTGGTGCGGGGGATGCGCCGCGTAGGGATGCGGGCGTGGCTGGGCGCGTTGGGCGTGTGGGAGCTTGTGGCGGCGGTGGTGAGCGTAGCCTTGCCTTGTATACGCGTCCGTAGGTGCCCGACGAGATGAAGCCGAGGATGTGGTAGGTGCTCAGGACGGGAGTGCGGACGTCGTGTCGGTAGGCTCGGTATGCTGCCATGGCGGAAGAGAGCGACGAGGAAGCGGGTATGTGTCTCTGAGCGAGGGCGTGTGCATCTTGGAAGGATGCGATCGCGGGGTCCTGGTGGTGCAAGGTGGGTGGGCCCGGTGGCGAGAGCGAGGTCGGGGCGGGCGAGAGGGACGGGGACGACGAGGAAGCGGCAAAGGAAAACGAGGACGAAGATGTGGACGGCGATGGGGATGGCATTGCGGCGGTGCACCGCGCTCTGGCAGCGTGGTGCGGTGGCCAGAGTCGGGTGAAAAGGCGAGGGAGGTACGGTGATGGTGGTGGTGGGGAAGGTGGTGGTGGTCGAGGGTCGAGAAGGACGTCGGCTCAGAGGGCCGTACCATGGCCCAGGGTCTGGCCGCCGCTCAGCTGCGAGGAAATTTGGCTCGGGCGCAGGGGCCACCCACGCACCCACTTCTTCTCAACCCAACCGCACCGCTTCGCTCACTCCCTCTTGGCAACCACCACCACCACCACCACCACCACCTCGTCCTTCACGCCGACGCCGCCATCGCCTCCGTCGCCGCCCATGCCCGTACACTTTCTCGCAGAATGGGTGTCCTCGCGCGTACCATCAGAGTACTACGCATCAATCGCCGCCGCACTCGTCGCCACCAGCTTCCTCAAGACCTGGTCAGCAGGCCCAAAGCTCCTCGACATCGAAGAGGCTGCTCCCCACCCCGAACCTTCCTCTTCCTCGTCCTCATCCTCGAGCGCTGCACGCAATGACAAGGACGGGGGAAAGGCTCAGCGCAACGACTCGGCACTCGCCGCCGCCGGTCCGTCCACCTTGCGCGACCTGCACGGCCGCGTCGTCCTCGTCGCCTCGGGCGCCTTTTCCTCGCTCGGCGTAGTCACCCTCTCGTCGCTCGCGCACCGCGGCGCACAGATCATTGCACTCACGCCCGACCTCCGCTCCCCGCGCGTCCTCCAGCTCGTATCCCTCCTACGCAGCAGCACCAACAACGAGCTCATCTACGCCGAAAAGTGCGACCTCGCCGACCTCGACTCGGTCTCGCGCTTCGCCGCAAAGTGGAACCAGGGCGACCCCACCACCCTCGGCCCCAGCGGCGGCGGAAAGGGTGGGCCCAGGCGCATTGACATCCTCCTCTTCCTCCCCTCGGAGGAGACCATCTACTCGTTCGGCCAGGATGTACGGCCCTCGACCCGCCACCCGCGATACGAACGCGCCTACGTCCAGGAGGTCCTCGCACGCTTCCACCTGGTAAACGCCCTCCTCCCCAGCCTCCTCCTCCTCCCGCCCGAGCGCGACATCCGCATCATCTCGACCATCTCGCCCTGGTACGGTGCCGGCGCCCACTCGTTTGACGCCATCGTCGAGGACCCCTCGTCCAAGTCCTACCTGCTCTCGGGCGTCGAGCCGTGGCGCATCCACGGCGCCACCTCGCTGCGCTGGTTTGCGCTGATGCGCGAGCTGCAGCGCAGGCTGCACCTCCTCGCCGAGGCAGATGCGCGGCCGCGCGACAAGCTGCCCGGCATCGACCCGTCGGCCGCCACGGCGGCCTCGTCGCGCCCCAGGCCCGTCGACGGCAGCGCGGCGCGGATGGGCACGAGGAGGAGCAACATCTCGACCATCTGCATCACCACCGGCTTTGAGCGCAACAACGACATCCTCGCCTTTCTCCTGCCCTCCCGGCAGAGCAGCGAGACCGGCCTCTACCCCGACGACGACGACGACGACGACGACGGCGAGGGCGAGGGCGAGGGCGATGGAGAGGGCGAGGGCGATGGAGAGAATGACGATGGCATGGGCGAGGACGGCACCGAGCGAGGGGAGGATGCGACCGCGAGTGGCGCAGACCCCCGCGCCAAGCTCAGCGCGGCCATTGATCCGCGACGTCGTGCCACAGGCAGCGTCGGCGGCGGCGGCAGCGGCAGTGGCGCGTCATCCACCGCCACACCATACACGACAAGACGACGACGGCGCGACGCAAAGACCGAGGCCTCTCTGGCGACACTGCACAACCTTCCCTCCGCCACCTCCTCGTCTTCCTCCTCCTCCTCCTCCTTGGTCGACACGATCACGACGATGCTGGTGCAGGCCCGCCGTGTGCTTCGGTACATCTTTGTGCTGACGCTCTGGCCCCTCATCTGGCTACTGACTCAGAGTCCAGCGACGGCCTCCAACTCGCTGGTGTGGGCGAGCGTCAAGAGGGTAGAGAGCGACGCCGATTTCCTGCACCGCATCTCTTCGCCATCGCATCCGGACGCACCCCCATCCAGGGTCCGGGATCGAGGGGGCCAGGAAAACGTGTCAAAGAAGCAAGCGACGCGCCATTCCATCCGTCGTCCGCTCATGGGTGGAGAACTCTACCGCGCCGGCAGGATCGTACGGCCCACGCTGCCCGCATGGCTCCTCGAGGATGGTGGGGCCGGCTTCGCAAAGCTGTGGGATGACGAGGAAAAGAGGGTCGAGGAACTCGTACGTGGTGCCATCCGACGGCCCGGAGGTGGCGACGGAGCTGATCCCAAGGCCGAAAAGGGGGATACGCGGAATCGGGATTAGACAACACAGGGCTTGAATCCAAGAGAGACAGAGGGGGAGAGAGGGAAAGAGGGAGGGAATAGTGGTACATGCAATTGTCAGTCTTTGAGTGACACGACGACAACGACGGCCCAGAAAGAGGAAGAGAGGGAGGGTATACGAGGACGAGGGGAGGCGGGGCGGATACAAGACGACGGAACGGGCAGTGATACAGCGGGCGGACGAGATCGAGGGCCGAGGGCCGAGGGGACGGGGGGGACAGATCAGATCTGCGAGAGGACCGGCGGTCTCTTCTGCTGCTGCTGAGGGTGCTGCTGGTGGGCGACGGAGGGCGTGGCGAGGCTGACGAATCTCTTGGCCTGCACGCCCGTCGCCATACCCGCCGTCGACATCCGACCCAATCCACCCGCACCCGCGCCGCCCAAGCCCAAGCCACCAGGCCCGGCCCTGGCCGGAGTTTTGAACGACATCATGCTCTGGCTGTGCCTCAGACCCTGCTCGTTTTCCTTGTTGTCCCTGGCCGCTGCCGCCGCCGCCGCTTGCTGCTGCTGCTGCTCGTCCGCGCCGAGCTCGCGGTTGTCGATGGCGATGCTCTTGGTGCAGTTGGCCGTCTTGTACACGCCAACAAGGCGGCTGCTCAGCTCAAACATGTTGTTGCGCAGCGAGATGATGATGAACTGCGCGCCCTTGGTGCGCTCCTTGATCAGGTTGGCCACGATGCTGACGTTGCGGAAGTCGAGCGCGGCGTCAATCTCGTCCATGACGTAGAGCGGCGTCGGCTTGAAGACGTGCAGCGCAAACACGAGCGCCAGCGACGACAGCGTCTTTTCGCCGCCCGAGAGGTTGCTGATGTTCTTCCAGCTCTTCTTGGGCGGCATCACGCTGAAGATGATGCCCTCCGAGAACGGGTCGAGGCTGTCGACGAGCTCGAGCTCGGCGTTGCCGCCCAGCGTGATGGTCTGGTACATCTCCTTGAGCTTGGCCGTGATGACGCCGAAGCCGGCCATGAAGTTCTCGAGCCGCTGCTTGCGAAGGTCGTCGTACCGCCGCTTGGCCGAGTCGCGCTCCTCGGTTGTCGCCTCGAGGTCCCGCGCCCGCTGAAGAAACTCGCCCTCGCGCTTGCGGTACTCGGCCAGCACCGAGAGGTTGCCCTGGCCCTTGGCCACCTTTTCCTCGTAGACGACAATCTCGGCCTTGATGCTTTCCTTGTCGATGGCGCGCAGCTCGTCCTCGGGGTACTCTTGCAGCTCGAGCGGGCCCTCGTCGTCGTCATCGTTGTCATCCTGGTCCTGGTCCTGGCCGTCGTCGTCGCTGGCCCGCTTCTTCTTGGCCTCGCCGGCGCCGTCCTGCTCGCCCTCGCCCTCGTCGTCGTCCTCCTCGTCATCGCCGTCGATCTCGTGGAGGGTGAGCTGGGCGTGCTTGTCCTGCCAGTGCTTGAGGCGCTTCTCGTTGTCGTGGAGCGAGCGCTCGTTGTCCTCGAGCTTCTGCTTGATCTCCATCTCGAGGGCGCGGAAGGCGTTGACCGACTCGGAGCGCTCGTCGAGCTGCGCCTTGATGTCGTCGCGCTCCTCCTGCTTGGTCTCCATGACGTCCTGCGCCTCGGCGACCTTGGCGCGCACGCTCTCGGCCGCGCGCGTCTTGGCCTCGATGGTCTGCATCAGCTCCTCGACCTCGCGCTCGAGCTCGTCGAGCTGCTGCTGGTTGCGCGCCATGGCCGCCTCGAGCTTCTTGACGTCCTTTTCGGCCTTGGACTTGGCCACCTCGGCCTTGGTGATGCGCTCCGAGCTCAGGTCGAGCATCTCCTTGATGCCGTCGACCTTGCTCTTCTGCATCCGCAGCGCCACGCCGCCCGCCTCGAGGATCTTTTCCTGGAGCGCGGCAATGTCGGCCTCGATGGCCTCGGTCTTCTCCGACAGCTTGGCAATGTCCTTGTCAAAGGCGGCGATCTGCTTGTCGAGCTCGGCGATGCGCTTGGCGTCGGCGGCGTCGGGCTTGCTCTGCGCCTTGAGCTCGGCGACGCGCTGCTTGGCCTCGGCGACGCGCTTCTCGCCGATGCCCAGGTCCATGCCGATCTTGTCGAGCGCCATGTCGATCTGCGGCGCGCGGCGCCGGTGGTCGTCGAGCATCTGCTCGACGGTGAGGATCGACGTCAGCTGGCCGCGCAGCATCTCCTCGGCGGCGTCGCGGTCGCGCTCCATGCGCTGCAGCTGCTCCGGCGACACGTCGTCGGCAGCCAGCTTGGAGCTCATGGCGCCGCGCGAGACGCGGTTGCCGCCGCCGGACATGGTGCCGCTCTTGTCGATCAGCTGGCCGTCGAGAGTGACGACGCGCCAGCGCTTGGCGCCGTAGGCGATGCGGTTGGCGTGCGCGAGGTCCTTGGCCACGAGCGTGTCGCGCAGCTGGTGGTAGAAGGCGGCGGCGAAGCGCTCGTCGCGCGGCTTGACCAGGTCGAAGAGGCGCGGCACGTCCTCGGGCGTGTCGATGGGCGCCAGCGCCGCCTTGGAGATGCCGAGGCTGTTGAGCACGATGAAGTTGCCGCGGCCGAGGTTGTTCTTGCGCAGGTGCTCGATGCACGCCTGGCCCGTCTCGACGGTCTCGACGACGATGTTGTTGAGGCCGGGGCAGGCGGTGCTGATGGCGACGTCGTAGCGGTCGTCGATGGTGCCCAGGTTGCCGAGGCGGCCGTGGAAGCCCTTGATCATGCCGAGCTCGGCCTGGCGCGTGAGGCTCGACAGGACGTCACCGCGCGAGCGGTTGGCCGTGACCGAGGCCTTGGCCTCGTCGGCCTTGCTGCGGGCCGCGCCGGCCTTCTTGCGCAGCTCTGCCTCCTGGGTGCGCATGTCGGCGAGCTGCCTCTCGCTCGAGGCGATCTTCTTGGCCAGGTCCTTGCGCTCCTGCTTGAGGTTCTCGACCTCGGCGCCCTTGCTCTCGTTGTCGAGCTCGAGGTTGCGCAGCGCCTCCTTGGCCTCGTCGATGCTCTTCTCGATCTGCGCCGAGCGGCCGTCGAGCAGGTCGCGCTCCTCGCGGGCAACGTCGCGGGCGGCCGCCTTTTCGCTGACCTTGGCCACCCACGGCTGCAGCTCCTTTTGCTTCTTCTCGATGGCCGCGCTGAAGCCCTGCGTCTTTTCCTTGAGCGAGTCGCGCACGCGCTCCAGCTCGGCCTCCTCCTTTTCGAGCGACGCCTCGAGGCGGGCCAGCTCGGCCGACACCTTTTCGATCTCCTCGGTCGAGTTGCTCGCCGTCGAGCGCGCCTCGGACGCCGCGTGCTTGTCCTCGGCGACGCTCTTGGTGCACTTCTTGCGCTTGGTCTCGAGGTGCTTGCGCTTCTCCTGCAGCTGGACGTCCTCCTTTTCGTACTTGGCGAGCTCCTTGATGACCTTGTCGGCGCTCTTGGCGATGGCCTCGTAGTCCTGGACGACGGCCTCGTACTCCTTTTCCAGCGCCTCGATCTCGGCCTTGGAGCCGGCGTGCTTCTCGGTCTCCTCGGCGATGCGCGCGCGCAGCGACTCGATCGCCTGCGACGCCACGCTCATCTGGTCGCGGCACTCGAGGATGTACACCTGCCACAGCGCCGACTGCCGCTGCGTCAGCTCGTTTTGGTCGCGCAGGTACTCTTCCGCCTGGCGTTTCTTGGACTGCGAAGTGCGGTGGCGTAGGAGAGACGCGCGATCGCCGCGGGCGTTCGATGGTCAGCATCCGACGCCTCTTCTACGTCCTAATTGTCGCGCCGGGTCCCGCCGCTGCCACACCAAACTCACCTCGAGCGCGTCCTTCTCCTTCTGGACGATCTTCAAGCGCGCCAACTTCTCGGCCCTGCGCTCGTTGGCCTCGTCGACGAGCTTGGCCTGCTCCTCGATGGGCACTTTGAACTCGCTGGTGCCGATGATGTCCTCGAGGTACTCGAGCAGGCCCTCTTCATGCTCGTTCTTGGCCTTGGGCGGCATCTGGGCGATGCTCTCGACCTCGCCCTGGAGGATGAGGAAGCGCTTGTGGTCGAGGTCGATGCCGCGGCCCTTGAGCAGCGTCGTCACTTCGGTGAACGTCGACTTGCGGCCATTGATCGAGTACTGCGACGCATTGTTGCGGAACGCGGTGCGCGACACAACGAGCTTGCTGTTGGGCACCACCTTGTACGCCTCGCCGGGCAGGTCGACGATCTCGCGGAACCACACCTCGACGCTGCAGTTGGGCAGGTTCTCGCGGCCGGCGCTGTTGTGGATCAGCTCGCTCAGCTTGCCCTGGCGCATCTTGTTCGCCCTCCAGCCAAACACGAACAGCAGCGAGTCGATGACGTTGCTCTTGCCGCTGCCGTTGGGGCCGACGACGCTCGAAAACGACTTGTGGAACGGCCCGATCTCCTGACGGCCGGCGTACGACTTGAAGTTGTTGAGCACCATCTTGTGGATGATGAGGCGCTTGAGCGGGCCGGCGGGCTTGGGCGGCGTGGTGGCGGCCGCCGCCGCGGTCGCCTGCTGCAGGACGGCGGCGGTGGGGCTGCCCTGCTTCGGCGTGGTCTCGACGCCGTCGGCAGCTGCTGCTTCGTCGTCGTAGCCGCCCTCGCCCGGCGAGACGCCCGGCTCGGCCTCCTTGAACGAGGCCTCGGAGCTGTCCGATTCGTCGTCGCTGCCCTGCTCCACGGCCGGCTGCTGCTTGTGTGCTGGCTCTGACTTGGGCGCGGCCGCGGCTGCGGTCGGCTCGGGAGAGGGACGCTTGCGCTTTGGCGGCGGCGTCAACGAGTCTTCGGTTTCTGCCTCGCTGTCGTCGTCCTCGCCGGCGGAAGCTGCAGCCGCGGTGGCGCCGGGCTGCATTGGGGCGGCGTCGAGGAGGAGCGACTTTTCTACCTCGTCGGCGTCGGCCTCGTCCGAGAGGGTGCGGTCGGCCTCGTCCTCTTCGTCCGACGACTGCTCGCTGTCCTCTGCATCGCTGTTGAGCACGCGCTTGGTGCCGCGCGCCGCCCGGGCGGGTGCCGCCGCCTTCTTGGCAGCCGGTGCAGGCTGTGCAGACTTGCGAGAGGATGCCGGCGCTGCGGCACGCCCTCTTGAGCGCGGCTTGACGACCTCCTCCTCCTCCTCCTCCTCTTCTTCTTCGGACTCGTCGTCCTCTTCCGAACCTTCCTCGTCCTCGTCCTCTTGGTCGTCCTCTTCCTCATCGCCCTCTTCGTCGTCCTCGTCGTCCTCCTCCTCTTCCTCCGATTCGCTCTCAATCACGGCCGCCTTTCTACCGCGCGACCGTGCCGCGGAAGCCGGCTTCGAGGTTGGAGCAGCGGGCGCCGCGGTGGCGGAAGCGGCTGCGCTGGAGCGTCTTGTGGACCTCCTTGCTGTCGTCGACGTAGGGGCGGCAGGGGCGATCTCTGGTGCGGGTGCTGCGGCCGCGGTTGATGCCGTGGAGGCGCGGGATGAGCGGGTGGAACGTGTGGCGCTGCTGGTGGAAGCGGTCGAGTCGCGCGCTCTGTTGACGGCGGACGCCGATGAGGCAGCGGCTGCCCGTCGAGGCGGCATGGCGGGTGTGGTTGTGTCGGACGGTTTCGAGGAGGATTGAGGAAAGGTGTGCGTGGTTCTTGCTGCGATGGTGAGGCGTTGCTGCTGCTGCTTGAGGGACCAGACCGGAGGAGGCGAGATCGAGGGATGGTGGCGTGGATGTGAAAGAGGGAGCCTATGCGCGCCCTCGCCAACTTGGTGTTGTTGTCCGCAAAGGTGGGGGGCTGGCGGGCCTGCGCGCCAGCCTTGGCCCAGGCAGCTGGGCGTGCCTGGCCTCTGGGCCGGCCGGTGTTTGTGTGTTGGTTGGCAGCGGCGGCCGGGCGAGGCAGACCTAGCCTGCCCAGCTTCGCCCGGCCTCGATTTTTCGCGCGCGCGTTCTCGCGTCTCTACGAGGGCAAGGGGTGCCTGGCATTTCTCGGCTCCGAAGGATGGCTACTGCCTCCTGCTGCTGCACCACCTTGTCGAGCTCTCGACTGGGCATTGCCCTCTTCCTCGTCAACACTGCGACCCACCCTTCCATCCCGTTCCCACAGGCATCGGTCGGATAGAGAGCAGCGCCAGACAAGCATTCGCCTCGGTCGTCGCATCACTCGGCCGCGTCATATTCCTCCAACAGATAGCGCTCCTGGATCGTTAGGGCGTCACGAGTCCCCGGTGCGATGCAGTCTCGAGCCACAGTATTTGCTCCGTCGCACCACTGGGTAGTCAGGCTGCATTCGAGCGGAGCATCAGTCGGTTGGTCGACCGCCAAGATGGGAAGCCAGAGAGACGCGCATCGGCCTCCCGAGATAAGTCCTACCGCCATGGTGTCATTCGAGTTCGAGGCCAAGTCTGCTCCGATGTCGAGATGATGGACTGATTGCGATTGCTGCGTACTTGATATGTCCGGACTATCGCCGGTGGATCGAAGCCCATCATCACATGAACATGTTGTCGTATCCGTTCTGGGAGGAAGGCGCGACGGGTGGCAAGGGAGAGTAGACTAGCTCAGCTCGACGCTCTCCGCTGCTTGGCTTGGCAACACCCCACCACCAGCGCGACTCACATTGTTGCCCGGCGGCCTCAGCTCGTCCCAGTCCGGCTCGCCGTCTCTCCTGGTACCTGGCTGCGGTAGCGGCCCGCCCACGTCGGGGCCCCTAGGGCCCGGCCTGGGGATGCCCATGCCCATACCGCCGGGGCCGATGGGGTCGTATCTCGCTCCCGGAGGCACGATTCCACCGCCGATGCCCGCACCGCCGCCGCCACCTCCGCCCTGGAAGCGGTCTCGGAACATGGGATGGTTAGGCCCGACATACATCCCGCCGCCCGTGTCGGGGATGCCCATGCCGCCGGGTCCGCGCGGGAAGGGCGATGGCACGCCGCCGCCGCCAAATCCGCCGCTGGGACCGCCCTGACGACCGCCGAATGGCGATGGGAGCGAGGGAAGGGCTCCGCCGAGTGGGTCCAGATCGCGGTCGCCCACGACGAGCGGGTTGCGGAAGGGCATCGAGGGGAGCGATGGGTCGTCTGGCTCCGAAAAGTAGGGCGGTCGCGGTTGGGATGGCTGTGCGCTGCCGCTGCCGCTGCCTGGGCGCGGACCCTGGCTGGACGACGGGTGCTGTTGGTCGCTGCGGCTGTTCGACGTGGCCTGGAATCCCTCTTTCTGCAGGTTGGGGACGAGGGGTACGACAATGGTGTTCTTGAACGCCAGTATAAGGTCGTTGCAGCGCGAGGGCGAGGTAAAGGCGCCCCTGAGCTGGGCAGCGGGTTGGTCGCCGCTGCCTCTGCTGCCCTCGCCGCCGAGCTGGGCGGGGAAGAAGGAGGTGGAAAAGTAGTCTGCGAGGGGCACCGTGAGGGTGGAAGTCTGGTTACCCTGCAGGGCGAGGCCGTTGACGACGACCCTGTCGCCCATCTTGGTGAGCTTGATGAGGTAGTCGAGCGACGACTGGTCGTGGCGGTAGCGGAAGCCGTAGGCCTCGGGTGCGCCACGGTTCCAGGCCGGCGGGAGGCGGTTGGCGGGTGAAGGCTGGCGAGTGTCGGCATCTGCGCCTGCACCTGCGGGACGCGAGCTGGAGGAAGAGGGGAGGCGGTCCGAGTCGCCGAGGCCGACTAGGCGGAAGTCGAGGCGGGACATGATGGCGTGGACGAGGAGGGCGAGAGCATCGGCGGGGCTGTGGAGCATCGGCGTGGCGTCCGCCTCGCCCGAGTGCGAGGGCGGGAGGAGGGAAGTGATGAGCGCGAGGAGCGCATCTGCGTCGAGGAGGGCCATGATGGCTGGCGATGGCAGAGGGTGAGTGAATGGTGAGCGCAGTCAGGGTGGTGGTGGCGAGGAGCAGCGCCGTCGTGGTGAGTGGTGGCTGTCGGGAAAGGTGTGAGCGGCACCCACCCAAAACCCCCAAAGGCAGGGCGCCGTGTGGAGGCCGCGCCACCTGCACCCTGACCTGCTCGCCTGCCTGCCGGCCTGCTTGCCTGCCTCGCCCCCCCCCCGCACTTTTGGCAGCTGCCCGTCACGCAGGCCCGTTCGCACCACGCGAGCAACAGCCACCCCCTGCAGCGCGCCCAGCTCCAGGGCCAACGGCCTCTTCTGCCTCGAAAGAGGATCCCATCAATCGCAGCTCGTCCCACTCGGTCCGTGTCTGGCATATACGCTGATGCGAATGCATTCTCTTCTTTCGACGTCGCTGCGTCTACCGCTAGCAACCTAGGTAGGCGCTGCGGCCTCGCCTCACAGCGACCGCACCTCGATCGACTCGACGACGCCCTGGCCGATGCGTTCAATCTCGGCCAGGATAGCCTGCCGGTTCAGCACAACATCGGCCGGCGACGACGACTTCCGACCGCCATCCTCGACGGGCCTGCTGGAGAAGCCGAGCGCCACCTTAAAGTGTCGCTCCCGCTGCAGCGCCGGGTTCCACGTCCCGCCAAGCACAGTGCCGCCCTCGGTGTCGTAAAACAGCCGGAAGGTATCCGCGTAGTGCGTCTGCCAGTCGTCGATCGCGAGGCCAGAGTAGTGAGTGCGTGTGTGCGTGCGTCAGTCTTCGTGTCACAGGCATAGCAGAGCAGAGCAGGGAAATGTGCACTCACCACGAGGATCTGCAGAAAGGCGGCGCCAGCGTCAAAGCCAGGCCGCGCGACGGGGCCCAAGGTGCTGGGCAGGTCGACGACGCCGTCGACCAGGTTGGCGTACCTGTTCCGGCCCTTGGCATCGGCGCCGCCGCCGCTCGTCCACACCCTGCTGTCGGCCGCCACGTTCCTGGCGTACCGCGACAGCACCTCGGGCCGCAGCCGCACCAAAAAGTCGTAGTGCTCCAGGCTGGGCGTGAACAGCGCCAGCACGTCGTGGCGCTGCAGCGCCGAGCCACCCTCGAGGATGGCCACGGCGCCCTTGGCCAGGCGCCGGATGCCGTCGGCCGCACCGGCAAACGGCCCGTCGCGTCCAAAGTCGACGCCCTCGACGTCGACCTCGGTCGCAATAAACCACGCCCGGCTCGACAGCGACGGATCGGCGGCGCGCGCGTTGCGGAAGTTGTCCTCGACCTCGGTCTTGAGCTCAGTGGGGAAGGCGAACGACGTCACGCCCTCGGCCGCACCCACTGCCGTCTCGAGCGGCACCATCAGAGGCTCCTCCTTCCAACGCCAGCTGGCGAGCAGGCGCAGGATGCGCAGGAAGCCCGCCACGGCGCTCGCGGGAGCACCCTCCTCGGGCGAGAGAAAGGCAGCGGCGGCCACCAGCTCGACCTGCTCCTCGGGCACCACGTGGTCGCCCAGCATCTGCGCAGAGAGCCAGCGCTTGGCCAGCCGCGTCGCGCCGCCAAACGCGACAAACTTGTGGTTGAGCGCGGCCACCATGCGGTGGTGGCGCGGCCCCACGGTAAAGCGGCGGTGCCACACGGCGGCGGCCGCCTTGGCGCGCTTCTTGAGCGCGGCCGGCTCGAACCGGTCCGACAGGATGCGCTCGACAATGGCGGGCTCGCGCTCGTGCGAAATGCGCAGGTGGAAGGCGAAGCCGGACGGCAGCACCACCTCGAGCGCGCTCTGGTCCTGCAACGGGTTGTGCGCGGTGCCGCGCGGGTCAAAGACGACGCGGCACTGGGCGCCGCCGCCGTCGTCGCCCGCCTTGCTCGACGCCAGAGCCGTGCCAATCTTCTCGTAGAAGGCGGCCTTCATGGCCTGGAACGACTCGAGCTCGCTCGGCCAGCGTCCGGAGCCTTCAAAGGTGATGACGACGTTCTGGACGTCGAGGTAGGAGACGACGTCGGGGACGCGGCCGCCCAGCGACTTGAGGTTGAGCGGGCCGGGGATAAAGGTGCTGGTGCCGCGGAGGCCGGGCGACGCTGCGACGATCGAGTTGATCGAAAGCGGCAGGTCCTCGATGGCGCGCAGCTGCTTGACCAGGCCGTCAAAGGTCGACTGGGCCAGCTGGAAGCCCTTCTCCTCGACCGAGACGACGTGGGCGAGGCGGGCGAGCGAGGCGTCGAGGTCGAGCAGGCCGTCGAAGCGGTCCGCCAGGAAGGCCAGATCGTCGCCGTCGATGGCGTGGTGGCGCTGCAGTGCATAGGCGAGGATGCGGCGCGGGATGGCCCAGCGCGCGGCAATCGTCGGCGTGGGCCACACGACGCTCTCGAGGATGCGACCGTCCTTGAAGCGGCGCAGCTCGGCACGTTCGCCCCAGAACCGGCGGAACTCTTCGGCGGCCTCGGTCTCGTCGCTGCGCGGACCGTGCTCGACCATCCTCCAGGCCTGCTCCGGATCGAGCACGATGCCGATCTCGGCCTCGGCCAGAGACGCCGGCCGCGGCGAGCCGAGCGGCCATGCCTCCATCAGCCCGCCGGAAGTCGAGTGCGACAGGGCGACGAATCGGGCACGCCCGCGCAGCGCACGCGACGCCGTCGCGCTGACCTGGATCATGCTGGCCTGGTACGAGTTGCCAAAGTCGGCCCGCCTCAGCGCATTGTCCGTGGCGGCGGTCGCAGAGGCGCCGTTGCCGTGCGCGCTCGACGACGACGACGACGAAGAGGGCAGGCTAAGCGTGGCGACCTCATCGTATGTGAAAGGCGGCGCCGTGCGGTCCTGAAGGAAGAGGGCGTCAAAGTGGTCCGAGGTCGGGTCGTCGAGCATGGCGAGCGTGCGCTTGGCTTCGAACTGGAGCAGATCGAGCGAGCCGGTGGGCAGGAAGCTGAACAGGTTGAGCGTGCCCGACGGGTCGACCATGACGCGGTCAAAGACGGCGGAGAAGTCGGCGCGCGGCACCTTGTCGCTGCGCGAGGCGAGCCCGGCCGACGGCATAGGCTTCATAAAGACGGGCCGGGCGCGGAAGTCGTGGGTGGCGAGCCAGTCGACGACGCCGCGGAAGAGCTGGTAGCTGCTGAAGCCCGTGGCCAACTTGGCGCGGGCGGCGCCGGCGCTGGTGCCGCGCTGCCTCTCCTCACCATGGAGCAGGTGGGCGAGGACCATGGTGAGGATGAACCGGATGCTGCCGGTGCCCGCTACCTGCCTGCGCCGCTTGCGGATGCCCGCGCCAAAGCCGCGCTGAAAGGCCCACGTCTTGAGCAGCAGGCAGGCGTCGGCAAACGCAGGGCACTCGCGGGCCGTCGTGTGCAGGTAGACGAGATGGGCCAACTGCAGGCCGTCGATCAGGATGGCTGCGTTGTAGCGCGGCGTGGCCGCCTGCGCGGTGGCAGTCGCGGTCGCGGCGGAGGCGGTCACGGCGTCCTGGTCCTCGTCGTGGTCGTCGTGGTCGTCGCCGCCACGACCGCCGCCGATGCGGACGCAGTTGCGCGACGGACCGAGGCGGCCCACCTTGAAGAGGTCCGGCTCGTGTGCAAGGTGGATGCGGATCGACGCCTTGAGCTTGGAGAAGTCGGTGTCGCTGCGGTCGTGGACCGGCTTGAGGATGAGGATCGAGCGGCGCGGGTCGGCCTCGAGCAGCTGGTAGCTGGCCTCGACGCCCACCTTGTCGGCGTTGGCGCGGATGGCGTCGGCGAGGACGGCGAGGTAGTAGGCGCGCTTGTAAAAGTAGCGGAAGTTGAGGTGGTCCTTTTCCTGGAAGAGGCTCGAGGGCATGACGACGGCGACGTCGACGTCGATGCCGTCGGGCTTCTTGGCCGCCGACTTGAGCGGCCAGCTGCCGACCAGGTGCATGGCGGCGGGCTTGGCGAAGCCGAGCTTGTACGGCGCATCGGCCTTTGGCGGCGGGTCGGGGAAGGCCACCTTGACTGCGCCCTTGGAGCGCTTGTCGAGGCGGCGGAGCGCCTGCGCCACCGGCAACGGCTCGACGGCCTCGAGCGACTCGAAGAGAGTGTGCAGGCGGCGCAGCACCAGCTCCAGCGCGCCCGCTTTGGCAAACTGCGGCCGCACCTCGGGCAGCATCTCGTCGATCTGTGCGTCGCGCGATGGAGAGGGGAGAGGAGAGAAGATCGGGCAGCATCAGCGGCTGCGATGGCTTTCGAGTGGTCGTGGGCAGAGTGTCTGCGCGAGCGACTAGACTCACCTTGAGCTTGAACACGTTGCTCTTGAACAGCTCGCCGGTCTCCTTGAGCCCCTGCACCTCTTCCGTCGTCGGCAGGGCGTAGAGCGCCGACGTCTTGGATCGCTTCTGTGATGGCCCGGCCTCGTCGTCGTCGTCACCGGCGCCGCCGTCGCCGCCAGCCTCGAGGTCCTCGAAGCCCCCCTCGTCATCCTCCTCTTGGCCTTCGAGGTCCTCGAATCCGCCCTCCATGTCTTCGTCGGACATGAGCTCGAGATGGTCCCCGGCGGCGTTGTCACCGTCGTCGTCGTCTCCGTCGTCTTCGCTATCGTCGTCGTCGTCGTCGTCGTCGGCTAACGCTGCTGACCCAGTTCCATTGAGCGCCGAGGCGAGAAGGTCCTCTGCATCGTCGAAGCCGTCGTCCTGGTCGTCATCGTCGTCATCTCCGTTGCCGTACTGCACGGCGGCCCGCTTTGCCGGCGACTTTGCGGTGCTGCGCTTCGAGGGCGACGCCTTGGAGAGGGGCGTGCCAGGCTGGGACCCGGACCCGGTCGACTTGCGCTTGACGCCAGGCATGGCGTGCGCTGCTTGGCTGTCGGTTCGATGGGTTGGGTTGCGTTGCGCGTCGGTTGGGTATGAACGGCCTGCAGCTGCTCGATCTCGGGAGGTGATGGCGGCGGGGTGCAGAGCGGAGCGGCGTACCAGCAAGGTGAGGAGGGGAAGATGAGGGAGACCGTTGGGAGAGCGGCGGTGGCCCAGCACACAGGAGGGCCAGCCAGCGGCGCTGGAAGGAAAAATCTTGGAATCCACATTTTTTGGGCCTCGCAGCACCTCGCCTTCGCGGCCAGATCCAGCTTCCGAGAAAGTGAGCGGGACCAGATCGGCGATGGCACACGTCCCGATGTGTCCTGCCAGGTGGGTGGAGGCCGATCTCGCACAATTAGCGGCAAGGCAGGGGGGCCCCGCGGCGGCGGTGCGGGCGTGCATGGGCCCGCTTCTGGGCGCACAGCCAAGCCGCCAAGCAAGCACGACCGCCTCTACCTTGCCTTGCTGCCCGCCTCCCTCACCACCACCATCACCACCATCTGCCCAACTCTCGCTCTTCGCCCGCACGCATTGCTGCAACCATGGCCGACTCAACGGATATCGAGCTTCAGAGTGAGCAGCCAGCACCATCTCGTCCGACGCTGCTGCGCTTCCCTCCCATGCTGACGGCTGCCCTCGTCCCTTCGTCTCCGCTCATTCTCCCTGCCCCCGCCATCAGACAAGCAGTACCTGCACGCCGCGCGCACCGACGACGCTGCGCTGCTCCAGTCGCTCCTGGATCCGCAGCCCGATTTCGACCAGAACCACGTCGACGGACTGGGCAACAACGCGCTCCACTACGCCGCCGCGCACCAGTCGACCGAGGTGCTCGGCGACATCCTCGACCTCGAGATCGACGTCGACGCCCAGAACCGCATCGACGCAAACACGCCGCTCCACGAGGCCGTCAAGGTCGACATCGATGGACCGGACGCAGAGAGGAAAGAGGAGCTGAGGAACTGGATCGGTGAGCTGCCACAAGGGGGCGACACGCACCGGCCGCACCACGGTAGCCAGCGACGCTGATCCAAACTCCCTTGTTTCCCCTCGACGATCTCGGTCCGCCTGCGCTACTCGGCCTCTCCAGTCAACGAGCTGCTCGAGTCCGGGGCCGACCCCCGCATCCAGAACAAGGACGGCGACAAGCCCGTCGACCTGCTCTCCTACGGGAGAAAGGCCAACACCGCGCTCGGCAAGCAGCTCTACGAGCGGTTGAAGCGCGCAGAGGCCGAGGTCGCCGTCGACCAGAGCGACATCGCGCGCGACGACGACGACGACGAGGGTGAGCCGGATCTCGCTACATGTCGCTTCGTAGAGCCCTGCGCTGACGCTCGTATTCGTCCCGCTTCACTCTGCACTCGGTCTCCCCGCAATGCCAGGCAGCGAGGGCACGCCTTCCGACGACGAATGAGGCGCCGCTTTCCGTCATTGAACAGAGCAATAGACGTCACCGGTCCAGTCTCGAGATTCTCAGCGCAACACTGCGCCGCTCGACTTGTGTGTCTGCATCGCTTGGCTCGCCTCGCTGCGATGTGCCTCGATCCGGCCGGACGGCCTTCTTTCCCGCTCTACGCGTTGCCCGTCCTGGTGTCCACCACCTTGACTGCCTTCTTGGGCCTGTCCGCAGCACCGGACCCTCCTGCAGCGACCGGGGCTGCTGCAGCAGCGGCCGCTGCGTCATCCTCTGTCTCGACGCGGCCGACCGTCTCGAGTTCCTCTTCCTCGCTCTCGCTCATCACGGTGGCAGCTCTCGACCGAGAACGCGCCCGCTGCGGCTGGCCAGAGGCTGTGTCGTCCGAGGTGGAGCGCCGGGACACTGCTGCGTCGCTCTCGGACGTCGACGTGGCCAGCGGCGAGATACCGGCGGCGGCTGCGTCGGCGGCGGCCTCTCCGGGACGTGGCGGCTGCGCGGCCAGCTCAGTCGTCAGCTCTTGGATGTCGCGCATGCCAAAGTGGCGTCCGGGGACGCTGCCCATGTCGTCCGCGTCGTCATCGTCGTCTGTGCCAAGGGGAAGGACGCTCGCCGCAGCCATCGTCAGCGGGCGTCGCTCTGTGTTCCGACGCACCGAAGGCGGCCGTCGAGCATACTCACATTCGATAACCTCGAAGCTCGGGGTCGCCGCCTTGTCCCGGCTCTCGGCGGTGCGGTGCGCATCCAGTATCCAGACTGGAGCGCCGCGTTCGCGCGACAGGAGCTCGCTGCCGAGCCAGTCGATGTCGACCTCGTCCTGGCCCTGGTCGTATTCGTCCGCGTCTTCGTCGCCTTGCCAGGCGGTGCGGCCGCTCGACGGGCCTGGCAGCTGGAGCGACGAGGCGCTGAACACATGCGGGTATGCTCGGCTGCTATAGCCGTATCCGCGCGGTAGCTGCTGGTGGTACTGGGGAGGTAGGTATGCCCACTCGCTCTGGACGGAAGCAGGGCTGGAATGGCGGTGGTGGTGGTGCTGGTGCTGGTGCAGGTGCTGATATTGGGGTCGGCGATGGAAGTGCTGCCAGGGCTCGGGTACGTCGTAGCCGTTGATGGCGAGGATCCTGCGACCGATTGCGTTGAGGATGGCCTCGTCCTCCATGACGCTCTCGAGCCTGCGCATGGCTTCTGCCTGCCTTGCCTGCTGAATGCGCTGCTGCTGCTGCTGTCGTCGCTCGGCAGCGGCGGCGGCTACGGCAGCGGCGAGGTCGAAGCCGTCATAGTCGTCGATGCTGCCCGACATATTGGGCTCATCCTGGATGACGTAGATGATGGAGCGGGGATCGTCGCGCTCGTAGACCGACGAAGGCCGGATGGACAGCGGGTGCAGGTGCTGGTCGGCCAACGGAATCTCCTCGTACTCGATTGTGTGGAAGACGAGCGCCATGGTCACCCTGCTTGAGACTTGGCGTTGCTTGTGTGCGAGAACGACGAGGGAGGGCTGGAAATGAGCTGCGCTGTTGCGGGTGAGGATGATGGTGATGGAGGGCGAGTCGAGTCGAGTCGGGTCGGGTCCGGTCGAGGCGGGTGGATGGGTGACGAGTGGTGCGGAAGGAGCAGGCGTGAGAGAGTAGTGATATGGCGAGGTGGGTTGGCCAGCCAGCTTCCGAGGGCAGCCAGGCCCAAAAGCCAAGGTGGAGGCATGGAATGCACCCAAACCCTAGCCCTAGCCTCAGCCTCGCCCCGAAAAAGTCGAGCGCGGGCGTGGGCTCGGGCCACCGCCCACACCCTGGCCTCGGCTCCGAGCCTGCGTCGCGGGCTTTCTCGCACCTTCGCGCCGCTTCGCACCGAGCTCGAGCTCTTCTGGCCTTGCCTCTCTTCGACTGCGCGCGGCTCGTCGAGGATCCTGCTGGGCCGATGGGGGGGACTCCAAGGCTCCCACTCAAGGATGGTCCATTCTGGCTCGGGCTCGCCGTCAATCAACCCTGCCGTCCTGTGTCGACCGATATCGGGCAGACCGCTTTGTGGGCCGTACCACGCTGTGCTCGATTTTCGCTCCGAATTTCCCCAGCCTTTTCTCAAACGTCCTCGACCTCGGACAAAGCCGAAGATGCCATGGTGCGGCCTCCTCCGACGTCAAAGACCCAGGCTTCTTGCCCGCATCAACGACTCGACCCGAGCACATCAAGCAAGCAAAGCAAGCAAGCGCTGTTTGCAAACACGAGCAAGCCCCCGCCAACGTCAGCCCCTGACCGATGCGCCAAGCAAGCAGACCGACGACGGGTGTCAAGGGCGGATGCATCGGCCGATGCGGTGGCGGTGCAGTAGCGGCAAGCAGGCCTGCTGCGGAACCATGCTGCCGCCATAGACTCGATCTCGACGGCGACGGCGTGTACAGTGTAGTGCAGGCGGTGCATGATAAAGGTCGGCAAGTGCAGCAAACATGACCTAGTCACTGCGCGGCCGGCAGCAAGCAACTAAGTAGTGCTAGGACGCACGCATGCTCCCGTCTATCCGCCTTCGGACCGCCGCCATTCGGCGTCGGTTCAGCGGTCGAGTGGCTCGACGGCAAACGATGACACGGCATCGGCTGTCACGTCGAGGCGCCGCTGGTCGACGCCGCAGAAATGCAAACGACGACGCCGGACTCGACGTCGACATCGTCGTCGATGTGGACCTCATAACGAGCGAGGGTGCGGCATCGTCGCGGCCAACTCCGAGCCATGTCGCCGCTCCTCGCTCGTCTAGCGGCCGTGACACCGCAAACAAGCTTCGCTTCGACGATTGCATCTCGCCGGACGGAGGCCGGCAGCCATCGACCCTCGACCGAGCATGGTTCGTTCGTTAAGGCAACCAACCGCCGAAGCCTCGCCGCAAAGGGTCACAGAACGACGGCCGACGGTGTGATTCTGCCGCGGTACCGGTGGCGAGTCCACGCCTCGTCGGTGGCACGCCGACCCCGTGCTGTAATTGGTTCGACGACCGTAGCGAGCCCGAACGACGGTGGCGGCGGTCGCCGCTCACGACCTAACCAAAAGGGAGATGGCGGCTCGCAACGCCAGGGTAGCGGGTTGGCTTGCGGCCACCAGCGGCCAAACTTCGTGGCTGATGACCGCCGGGCTGACGGATGCTCGAAGAGCGGATTCGCCACGCCCGCCTCGGGTCGGAGCGGGCGCGGCTCGCTGCGCTCCCATCGCGTCTTGCGCACCACCACAGACTCGTTCCATTGTCGAGATCTTGTCGACTGCTACCGGTAGCCGCTCGACAGATGGTTGGCCACCGGACTCCGACGCCTTCTGCTGCCTCTTGCTTGCTTCTTTGCCGACTTCCTTCGGCTCGGTCTGCGTCGGCTCCATCTACGCACTCACGTACGTAACTCCCCGTACCACCCCTTCGGACGATGTCCTCGAGCGACGTGGACGGCGAACGGACGTCGAAAGGCACCCATCGACGCCGCCACCGCTGCCACTTCGTGCCAAGTCACAGTAGACGTGCCCAGTCTGGGTGCCGTTGTACGACAGCGGAATGGCCGTCCAAGTACGTACCCACGTCGCCCCCGCCTCCCTTGTACCCCGGCGCACCGCCCATTCGGCTCCGCAGATCCAGCAGGTCGTTCTCCCGGGGAAGCAGTCGATGTAGGTACGTAACACCTTGCCCGCCTGTGAACCACGAACGGTCTGGACGGCGCAGGCACCAAGCTCCGCCCGTTGCTCCTATCCTGGACTGGACGAGATCGTTGGGATCCCGAGGTCTCGGCCCGATGGTTCCGATGCGAAAGGATCTCTCTGAGTCTGGCAGTGTCCCTTTTGTCGTCTGGCTGCGCACGGTATGGATCCCCATCCGCGGCCGTCTGGCGGGGCTAGGTCGGACGATGGCCGTCTTCCCATGCTCATGCGGCGTTTCGCAGGTGTCTTACCGCGTACCAGCGAGCAGGGACGAGATGGCTGGGACTCGTGGCTGGGACACGCTCGTGGCTGACTTGGCTCAGCTCCGGTCCTGGGCCTGGCGAGTCGCGAGCATGAAGCGGGGGCAGGGGTGGTTGAGAAGGCGATGAGAAGATCTGCGCCCCGGCGGAGGTCGAATCGGGGATCCTCGTCAGCCCAGACACCTGCCTGCTTGCCCGCCTGCCTGCCGCAGCATGAACGAGACAGCTGCTCGTGCTCGCCAGGGCTGGGCTGAGCCTCAATCCGAAAGCGGAGATCGACCGACCGACCCGCCAGGCAGCCAAAGGCGGGGGAATGGGCTGGGCCTGCTTTTGTCTTTCTCCTTCGACGACGACGGCGGGCGGTCGACGACGACAACAATCGCAACCCCATCTCTGCCCCCGCGCCGTCTGGTCGGAGGTGGCGCCGAGCAATCAATCTCGCGTGGCGCCACACCCCAGTCGTGCCCTGGACTGTTTGCAACTAGCAGCAGGCGCATCCGGATCGATTGCTGTCTCGTACCAACGACTCGATCGAGGCAGACATGCTGCAGGACTCCTGTGTTCCTCCCCGATCTGCGCACGGCGGTGCGTTGTCGACTAGTACCTTTGAACCTACGCCGACCATAGACGCCCAAGGTGATCCTGCCATTGTCCCTCAAGCTGAGCAGCCAAGTGGTTGAAGGGAATAACAATGACGACGTTGGCATGGCGACAAATAGGGCCTTCCGTTCCGCACCGGCCTGCTCCGAGGGGTCGAGACCCACTTCACGACGCCCACAGTTGGTCACGAGCGCGCTCGGACGGCATCGTCGTCGACGACGACGGCGACGATGAGCGAAGAGTGGCGCTGCTGGCAGAGACGACGTGCGACGGTCGGTCGGCTTTCTCGGGGACCTGGCTGCCGCCCTGAGCATCCCGCGACAACCAACCTGCTGCTTAAACGGTAGCCCACAATACCCTTGCAACCGTGCGTGCGTGTCCTCGAGCGGCCCCGCATCCGCAGCCGCTGCCGCTGTCGGGACGCACCGCTCGCACGTACGGCCGCTGCTGCTTGCTGGTGGGACCTGCCTCGCGGTGCGCGCGTGCGTGCGTGCGTGCGTGTGTGTGTGCCTACAGATGTTCGCGATGAGGCCTAGGCCTACCTACCTCCAAGCCGGCGCCGGCTGTTTTTCATCGCAGCGCAACATGACCGCGCAGCCGCACCACACCTGCCTGGCCCTGACCCTGAGCAGCGGCCATCAGCGGCAGACTGGGTAGGTATGGATCGAGCTGCTAGGCGGATAAACGGGAGCCATGCAGCGGGTCACGGTCCACGCACGGACGGCGATGCAAGCTAAGCAGCCGTGTTTGGTGGTTGGGCTCGGCGGTCGCCCAGGCTACAAAGGTGTCGGTGTCGACGAGATTACCGCACGGTACGAGCGCCTGCCCGCTCCTCTGCTCCACGGAGGCTCTTGCCCTGCCGCCGCCCGTTTGCCACGAGATGGTGGTGGTGGTGGTGTCAGGCGAGGCGAGCGCGAGCCGAAGAAAAATCGAGAGCGTCGACCCGAACAGGCAGGCCTGCCCGGCCCGTCCCGCCACGATTGTCTGCTGCTGCTTCTACCCTCTGGGCGGAGGAGCAAGCAAGCAACAAGCAAGCAAGCAAGCAAGCAAGCAAGCAAGCCGGCAGGCAAGCAGGCAGGCAGGCAGGCAGGCAGGCGGCGGAAGCTGGCGACGCGCCCTAAATCCTCATGCGGCTGCCAGCTGTGCAGCGAGCATGCATGCATGCATGCGTGGGCATGCGTAGTGCATACATGCACAAGAGCGCCCCCCCATTTTGCAGGCGAGACATGGGCCTGCCTGCCGCCTTTTGCTCGCCGCTCGATTTTTCCTTTCCGCCATCGAGGGGCAGGCCCGCCAACGCCAGCACCCCCACCACCACCACCACCACCACCGACCAACCGACGACCATACGCACGCTGCATTTGGCTGAGCCGACACGGCCTTTGCGCTGCAGTCCATTTGCAGTAGATCAGACCTACCTCCCGTATATGCGCCGGCTCCTTGGATGCTGTGGCCGTGGCCGTGCGAGCGAGGGTGCTTGCAGAGCCGAATGCTCGAGGTCACATCGGACCCTGCCTGCCTGCGCTCTCGCTCGCTTGGCTCTCGCCGGCCCGACTCTCTTGGCCTCCCAGTGCTCCGGACAACGCCGGGAGCGTCGACCAATCCCTGGCGTTCCATCGTGGACGTCTTGGTCGTCGTCGGCGGCGGTTGGTTGCCTTTGAAAGGCGGAAAACCTCCGTAGCGTCGTCGTCGAATCCCTGATTTGCCTTCTGCCATGACGGAGTAGTCAGAGCGGAGGGAAACGACGAAGGCAGTCGGTCGATGCGCTCTGTCGCCTGCCTCGCTTGCCAAGATCCCGGCCAGTGCGACGACGACCGTTGCGAGAATGGCAGGCAGGCAAGAGCGCGTCTGGCTTTGGAAAGCGACCTGGGCGTATCCAATGTCCCTACCCACTCACGATGCAGGCTAAGGGCCGCTTGATGGAGGCCATCGAGGCGGTGACACCGTACAGTGCGAAGCGGCCAGCGCCGTGTTTAGGTACCTTTACGATCATGATCACGTCGAGCGTATCGCGAGGACCATGATGGTGGCGGCGGCGAGACACAAGCAAACGTCGAGCCCTGAGCCGAAGGCGTGAAAGGCGAGACCGCATGCTGATCCGCTGCTCACCTCGCTGGTCGGTGGTGCGAGATGATGGTGGGGTTCTACCGAAGGTGCCGTATCCCTCTGGCATGGACCCGTCGACGCTCGGAAGGCCGCCTAGCTCGTGCTTTCGCTCGCGTCGTCTGTCAGCCGAGCCGAGTCCCTTCTCCCTCCATCCCATCCGACCGTCCCGCCTCGCGCCGCTCAAAAGCGAGACATCCATGGCTGTCACGACACCACTTGGCCGTGACGCGGCGGGCCTAGTCGGTGTGTCGCGGACCAGCAGCGTCCAGATGGAACACCTCCGCCAGGCAGGCGGAACGACTGCGATCTGATACCGGTACACACCGTACCACTACTGTAGCTGACCTTGCCTTACCGCCTCGAACAAAAGGACAGAGGCAGGCTGGGGAGAAGCTGGCCACGCCAGTCCGGCAGGAACAATAGCCGGCCGGTCGATTTGCCGCCGCTCAGCCGCAGGAGGGATATGTGGGCCGATTCCATGCTGCTGGCCCTCAATCTGGGCAGAGCGCTGTGGCAAAGGACCAGGCTTGCCACAGTACGGCGGCCTCTCGTCCCTCTGCTCCTGACCTCGCCTTCGGCAATTCTTTCCCCTAGCTCTCATCTGTCCTCATCCCTTGCCCAGCTGGCTGGCTGGCTCAATTAGAGCTCTAAATCGTCTTCGGTTCGCGTCCCGAGGACACCGCCAACACCGCACGCACGTATACACGCCGCAGCGCCGTGCACCATCATCATTCGGCTGGCTTCCATTCGCTCCGCTCTGCCCCCTCCGGATGCCGCCAGCAGTCAGCCTGGTCGTGACCGAGGTGCGTGCGTGCGTAGATCGTTTTTCGCTCCCCTGGTTGCATACCGATTCCTGCCTGCGGCCGTCTTTTCTTCTTGCGAGCGTCGACGACGACGACGACAACGGACGGACGCCGTTCCGGCTTTCCCATGCGCAAGCAGCCCAGCAACATCTACCGGCAGGCCCGCGCTCTCAATTCTTCATTTCGACGCCCTAGTGCGTGCCGCCACCGGCGCACGAACCCCGACAATGGCGGTGGCAGCAGCAGCGTCGGCCTCGAAGCACATGCTACCGTCCGTCGACGAACGGGTACGGGCGTGCGCAGCGAGGCCGGCGCCCTTGTCGCTGTGATTTGAATGTCAGCAGGTGTGCTGGGCGTGACAATGCTGCTGGCTTCAGTCATCATCAGCTGCGAGCGGATGGCGCGAGCGGAGCGCTGCCCCCTTGATCCTCGCCTTTTGTCTAGCGGTGCAGCATCTTGGCCGCTTCGATTTTGAGCGATGGCAAGCAGGCGGGGCGGATCCCAACAATACACCCTGAGTCCCCTGCTCCGCATCGGTCCTGTACCGTTCCATGCTGCCCTTCGTTGTCGAGCGGTCAGCCGGCGTGTGTACATACCGTTCGCTGCGCTTGCCCTGCCCGGCGTTGTCTCCCTTCCAACGTCGTCGCCGCCGAGAGCGACGGCATGCCAGGCGGTCGGGGAGGGTCCCGCCGTCGTTACCTGTTGTCGCGCTGCCCTGCCTGTTCGATCTTGCCTGCCCGGTTTTGCTTGCTTGCCTTGTCGGCCGTGGGCCGCTGCGCTGCCATGCGACTTTGAATAGGTTCCCTGCCTCGCCCTGCCTTTGATCCCGACTGCAGCTCGCCGTGAGTGCTGTCCGACGCTGCGCTGCGCTGTGCTGTACTCCAGCAGGATGCACGCACGCGCAGCCATCGTACGTACGTACGTACACTTGTGCATTTCCATGGGAGCGGTGCGATGAGGTGGTCCCAGAGGCCAGGCCAGGCCCAGCCCAGGCCAGGGCGTCAACAAGCGAGAGGAAGGAGCGAGCGAGATGGAGAGCCACCTAGGCCAGGGCGCGCGGGGCTGTCGCGGCGTTCGGAGAGACGGGCAAAGGAAGGATGGTCGGCTGGATTCCCACGTTGCACCTGCGTGCGTTGCAGACTCTCCGGCATTGAAGCGCCGCTCGCTGTCGCTGGCTGGCCAGCTCGCTTGGGGCCGTCTTGCTCAGCCAGGCAGGGACCGCTCTGGCAACTGCCGTCGTGCAGAGCAGAGCAGCGCAGCGCCGCGCACACTGCAGACCAGGCCAGGGCAGCCCTTGAACGCGGACGGCCCACTGAGCAGCAGACAGCGAGCGAGCGAGCGAGCCGACGAGCGGACGAACGGGCGAGCGAGATGCGGGTCGCATGATCCCGAGAGCGCGCAAGCAGGGTGCGGTGCCCGCCTTTGCACCAGCCGAACAAGGTGCTGGGCCAGGAGCGAGCGCCTCAGCCTGGGATGCAAAAAGAGGCGCGAACAGAGCATGGTACCCGTGCCGTCCTTTCCATCTCCTCGCACACCCGCCACCGCGTACACCGCGGACGACGACGACGACGACGACGACGACGACGACGACGGCGACACGGACCAAGCGTCACCTGCTTCATCTGCTTGGCGACAGACTAGTGGGCCGGGCTCCGAGTATTGTCGCGCTTGTGGCCGACCCCGGACAGGAGCCCTCGACAGACGGCCGCCGCGGAGGCGAGCACAAAGGCTGGCGTCGCGCGTTCGGCGAGAGGGCCGCCCCCAGACATCGATCTGCTGCCAGCCACGGCGCGAAGGCCAAAAAATAAAAATAAAAAATCGAATTTAAAAAATCGCAGGATTTTTTTTGAAGACAGAAAGAAAAACTGGGGGTTGCCGCGAACACAAGCTAGTTAGGCAGGCACATTTCTCACAGCGACGGCTCTGAGCAAGAGCCTGAGCGAATCGTCCTGAGAAACCGGAATTTCTCCCGACCTCCGCCAAGGGCGGGGCTGCAGCCGTGAGCCGCCCAGGTGCGCGCGCTGCCGTTGCCGCCTGCCTGGCCCATCTTCAAGCTCTTCTTGCCTCTCCTCGCTCGCCCGCTGCCTGGCGTCGGCTGTCGTAGGCCGCCTGTAGCTCTGCTTGGCCTGCCTTGGTTCTCCAGCCTCCGCTGCTCCTGCCTGCCACCGTGCGACGGTCCTTCTTTTGTTGGCAACGGTACAGTAGCCTGGCTTGGGTGCACCTGCAGGTCTCACCGCGGCTGCTCGACAGCCAGGCAGGCTAGGCTAGGCTAGGCCAGCCGGCAGGCGAGCGAGATGCTCTGATCTCGACGACGACGACGACGACGTGTGATTTCCAGGGTAGGGCACCCTACCCTGGCCTAGCCTCTGCACCATGGCCCTGTCAACGGCGTATGCTAGCGTCGCCCGCTGCCAACGAGTTAGAGCGTGGCGGATCAGAGCAGAGGCAGGCAGGCAGGCAGGCCATCGAGCCTCGACAGGCCCTCATCTTTGCCGCCGCCGCCGCCGTCGTCGTCGTGCCTGCCCGACTCGGCCCACCCCGCGACCGCTATAAGACGCTACCTGCCGCTTGCCCGTAGCCGTCGCCGTGGACAGCCCCTCCTCCGCCTCCGCCCAACGACCCCTCCTCCTCAGCGCCGCGTCGCCTCTTCATGTGAAGCTTGCCTGCCCGCGGCCTCCCTGTCGACCAGCTTCTCCCCCCTTCCCGCCCCTTGACCATCCTCCTTGCCTCGACCGGTCCGCTTGTTGCGCGCTTCCGACACTCCTTGACCGCCACCACCGCCACCACCGCCACCAACACCGCCACCCCGCCCGTTCCCGGCTCCTTCGCCCTCACACCCGCCGCGTTCACGGGCCCCAACGCTGCGTTCGCCATGTCTTCGCTGCTCTCTGCTCCCGACTCGGCCGTCGTGGCGGCCGCGGCGCCCGCCATTCACGGCGCAGGCCAGGCCGGCATCATCTTTGACGCCGTCCCCATCGAAGACGCCGAGTCGTTCCTGCTGCTCATTGTCATCTACTCGATCTGCCTCGGCATGGTGGTGCTCGAGTTCTTTTCGCACATCGGCTTCGACATCCAGCTGATCCGCAAGCCCGGCTGGACGGACCCGGCCAAGTTTGTCTCGCGCACCGCCTACCTCCTGGTTCGCACCTGCCCGGCCGCGTTCCTGTCGCTGGTCCTCGTCTACCTCACGACGCAGTTTGACAACTGCTCGATCGTGCCGCTCACGTTCAACATCCTCGCCATGATCATCCTCGACTCGGTGCTCCTCATCTTCCTCCAGCGCACCATGGCCCTGTACTCGTGGAAGCGCAAGGTGGTCGTGCCCCTCACCGTCATGTACTGCATCGTGTTTGCGCTCAGCTGCGTCTCGCTGCCGCAGCTCGGTGTGGGCCGCCGCATCCCCAACTCGCGCTACTGCGCCTACGACACGCGCCGCGACCTCACCCGCATCCTCGTCGTCAACATTGTCTACAAGAGCTCGTCGATGATCCTCGACTTTACCCTGCTCATCATGACGATGCACCGCCTCGTCGACGGCGGGCTCAAGTCGCTCTTTACCGGGCGCAAGGGCATCAACACCATGTCCCACTCGGACCTCTCGTCGTTCCTGCTGCGCCAGGGCCTCCACTTTTACGGGCTCCAGACGGCCACCGAGATTGTCTTTATCTCGATCTACTTTAGCACCCAGCAGGTGTCGTACCAGGTGCTCGGCTCGGCGCTCCTCCTGTCGATCCCGCCCATCACGGCGGGCAACGCGTTCCGCGAGATGGGCAAGAAGGCCTCGACCGTGACGCAGAAGCGCCACGTCAACGAGATCATCAACTCGTCGACCAACAACACGTCGCAGAACGGCGGCACCGGCGGCGGCGGCATCGGCATCGGCGGCCAGACCATGAGCCGCTCGGAGCGCAGGCGCGCCTCGACCATCCTCGAGGAGGGCGGCGACGGCATGACGACGAGCATGGTCGGCGGCGGCG